GTGGGGTAAGGGGCAGGCAGGGAAGCGGCAACCCCCCCCCCCGAGAGTTTCTCCCAATCTCTGGCCTCAGAGGGAGGGGGCTCACCCCAAACGTTGGGGCCTCCACCACTGAGCAGGCAAGCCCCGTGTTCCTGTAAGTGTGCAGAGGGCCCACGGGGGCCACAGGCAGGGGCTCTGCTCGGCCAGGTGACTCCACAGGGAGGGAGGCACCGAGGTGTGCGCCTCCCTGGAGACCACCCGGGTCCTGGTGCTCAACACCCCAGTCCGCTCCTCCTTGGCTTCCAGTCCTGCCCCAGAGCCTCCCACGGCTCCCCCAGCTCCTCTGCACACCCCTGAGCTCTCCCCCACCCACGGCCTCCATAAAGACTGGGCCACGACTCGACTGGCTCGCCCTTCAGTCTGGTGGCCGCGGCTGTGCCACCAGCCCTTAGGCGGAGCATGCAGGCCCCTCCCCCGGCCACACCGCGCCAGCCGCTGGCGAGGGGGACCAGGAGGGGACAGGAGCCCCTCCCACGGCAGTCCGCCCTGCTGGCCACACCGGCCCAGCTGCGGACAGTTAATTTCCGACTTGTGTGTCATCTTGCTCTGATTTATGGCTCCTTGGGGGCTCCTGGGCTGTGAACTTGCTTTTTAATTGTCCATCTGTGGCCTCCTGGCCACCTGCAACCTGGACCAGGGGCCCCAATACTGTGGCCTCCTCCCGTGGTCCCTAAGTGCCCCCAGTATTGGGCCCGGAGGCCACAAGGGCCCGCAGACAAGGGAAGGGCCCAGACTGACCGCATACAGGAGAGGGGCCCGAAGTGCCCGCTCGGGGCGCTGACCTGGGTGGGAGTGACTCATCTGTCACGTTCTCTCCTTTCTGCTTCCGCAGCTTCCATGCTCCGTCGCCCCGTTCACAGCGTTTCTGGAGCGCCTGCTGCGTACCAGGCATGCTCTAGGCCCTGATGACATGGCAGTACCAGAGAGACAGGGAGGCACAGGGCTGAGACCTGCAATGGTCCCGTGGCCTTTACTTGCTGTGGAAAGCAGGGGCAATGGGGGCTTCTGGCTATGGGACTGTAATCGAGGGACTCCAGAGGACCCCTGAAGTCAGCGTGGTCCCCAACAGCCCTGAGGGTGAGGGATGATGGGCCTTGGGGAGGAGTGGAGATGGAGAGGGGCCGCCGGGGCCTCCGGGGCCGTGTCTAGGGACAGAGGGCTGACTCCGCTCCCAAGCCAAGACGCTGCAGACCTGACCAGCTCCGCCCAGGACCCCCTCTCCGTAGCGGGGCACTGAGGCAGCACAAACCAGCCTTGGAGCTGGTTCGCGTCAGGCCTGCATACCCATGGCTGCTGGGGGGCCTGTGGGGTGGTGCCCGGCATCCGGCGGAGGCTGGGGTATGGTCTCCAGGGGCCTCACTGTGCTCAGTGCAGCCTTGGGAGTGAGCGGCCACCCCGCGTGGTGACCGTGGTCTGGTAGTGGTCTGTGGCTGGCGATGGACGGGGTGGTCCCTGAGAGACCCGGGCCCTGCATGCAAGCCCCAGGCAGTACAGGGGGGTGGCGGGGGCAGCGTGGCTGTGGGGCTCTTCTGCACGTGTGCGAACGCGACTCTGCACGCAGCCTGTGGGTGACAGGTCCAAGGGGCGTGTCCCCACTGTGGGCACTGGGTCCCGGTGCTGACCAGGCCGGCCTGGCCCTGCTCCCCTGGGGGCTCCCAGCCTGCAGGGCAGAGCAGACCAGAACCAGACTCCACTCGAGGCGGGTGGGCTGAGTGGCCCGGTGGCCAGGGAGGCTGAGAGAGGACATCTCACCTGGTCCGAAGGGTCCAGGGCAGACAGCCAATCAGTGACCCATGGGAACCGTAGACCAGGCAGCGGGAACAGCCTAGGCCAAGACCCTGAGGTGGGAACAAAGCTATTTTTGTACTCATCCACCTGACGTTACCTTTTATGTTAAAACTTTGTGTTAAAGGAGTGCCTGGGTGGCTCAGTCGGTTGGGTGTCTGCCTTCAACTCAGGTCAGGGTCCTGGGATCGAGCCCCACATGGAGCTCCCTGCTCAGTGGGGAGCCTGCTTCTCCCTCTGCCTCTGCCTTTTCCTCCATTCCTGCTCCCTCCCTCTAAAATAAGTAGATAAAATCTTTTTAAAAAGTCCCGGGCGCCTGGGGTCTCAGTGGGTTGAGCCTCTGCCTTCAGTTCAAGTCATGGTCTCAGGGTCCTGGGAGGGAGGCCCCCCATCCGGGTCTCTGCTCTGTGGGGAGCCTGCTTCCCCTCCCCCGCCTGTCTCTCTGCCTACTTGTGATCTCTGTCTGTCAAATAAATAAATAAAATCTTTTAAAAAAATCCTTATAATAGCTAGCTGGAAACACCTTAAGTGTCCATAAATTAGTGAAAGGATAACCAAAAAATGTGATATAGCTCCACGCTGGGACATCACTCGGCCACAAGCAGGAGCGAGACCCCCAGGCACTGCCCTGGGGACAGACCCCAAGCCCACGATGTGCAGAGAGGGGACCAGACACAGGAGGCCACACGGGGTGTGAGTCCACACATGTGACACGTCCAGACCAGGCTCCTCCACGGACGGGAAGGGGCTCGTGGGGGTCGGGGCTGGGATCTGACAGATGATGGGGAGGGGTTGCCCTTGGGGGCAGAGAGAATTCTGGAATCAGATGGAGGGCCGGCTGCACAACTTGTGGATGTACTAACGTTTACATGGACGACAGTGTGGTACGGGAGTTATATCTCAACAACTTTTTTTTTTTTTAAGATTTTATTTATCCATTTGACAGAGAGATCACAAGCAGGCAGAGAGGCAGGCAGAGAGAGAGAGAGGAGGAAGCAGGCTCCCCGCTGAGCAGAGAGCCTGATGCGGGGCTCGATCCCAGGACCCTGGGACCACAACCTGAGCTGAAGGCAGAGGCTTAACCCACTGAGCCACCCAGGCGCCCCTCAACAACTTTTTTTAGTAAGAAAATTAAAGTCAGTGCTGGGGTCCCACCACGGTCCCAGCACCATGTCCCTCGGGTCCCCTCCCCTGTGGCAAGGGGAGGCCTCCTCCCTCTCTCAGCCTCCGGGTCCTCACCATGGATTGGGGGGTCCTTAGGGTCTCCCTCCCTGCTCAGCACAGGTGTCCCTCGGCCACCCCGCGACACCGGGCACGGCAGGTGGGACGCACACAGGGGTCTTTGTGCGGCTCAGTGGGTTCATTAAGAGGCAGGCCCTGTTGCTAGGCTAAGCTCGGCTGAATTAATTAGCTGAGAGCCTTCCCTCCCTGCTAATTGCGCCCAGGAGGCTGCAGTCCTAGCGGGTGGCCCCGAGGGGACAAGCCTCTGAGATGATCCCTGCCCGTTGGCCCTGCTGGGGCGAGGCTGGGGTGAAGGCCACTGGGACCCCACAGCTCCCGACACCTGCCTTTTGCAAAGCCAGAGAGGGACTGAGAGGCAATAGACTGACCCCTACCTTGGCCTGGGCAGTTAGGGAAACTGAGTCACGAAGCAGCAGAGCTTGGTGACATAGAGGTCAGAGAAGGTGGTTGGATTCTAAAGGAGCCGAGATGAAATCGGGGTTCGCCAATCCCCCGTCCCCGGCATGGAGCGGGGAGCCGGACGCCTTGACCAGCCCTGGGGTCCTGGCTTCCCCTGTGCTCCTGCTGCCGCCAGGGTCTCTTCCCTCCCTCCTCCCAGCTGCCCCACGGCGGGGGTGGGGTGGGGTGGGAGGGGGCTCGTTCCCATTTCTTGGCCTGGGGTTGACTGAGGTCCCTGGAGGGCAGTGAAGGACAGCCGCCAGAGGCTCATCCCAGCGCCTGGCCCCCAAGTCCCCCCGAGACCCGGCTATGACGGGCCCCAGACGTTCCTCAAAGACACCCCTCCCCGGCCCACGCCAGACGCGACCCCACACTGTGCCCCCCCCGCCCCCCAGTCAGGGTCGGTGGCCCTAAACACACAGGCACACCCTTGAGGTTTATGCTCGTTTTATTATAAAAAAATACAGAATCCAAAGTTGATCGTATCGGAAGGGGAAGCCTGCGCCGCCAGCTCCCGGCGTAGCCGCGCTGTGTAGGTACGTATAATATATAGAAAACACAGATCAGGAAAGGCGCATAGAAATATGAAATCCGTATAAATGCCGTTTGCTTCTTGAAAGGGTCGGGAGTCTCTTTCTGAGTGTGGCCCCCGCATCCTGCGTTGTCCTGTTTTCTCTTATAAACGTAGTTCCTAGCGCAGGGGGAGGGGCTCCGACAGACAATCGAGCTCACTGCGAAGGTGGCTTCTACTCTAAAAGGTCCCCCCACCCCTCGCCAAACAGAAGTGCCCCCTCCCAGGAAGGGGTAAGAGAAGAAGAAACTCTCCAGCCGTCCTTAGGAACACAGTAGAAATAAGTCACAGTATAGTTGCCCAGTCTATTTACAGAAACGTCATGTCTTCTCGGCCTGGGGTGGGGGGGCGCTCGGTGAGGCTGGGGCGGTGCCGGGGGAGGGGGCCCAAGCGGTTCTAAGCCTCAGAGGCTGTGACTCTGAAGAGGCCCCCAGTGGCACATCCCAGATTTCCACTCTGGGCAGGGGTCACCAGGAGCGAGGAGGGTGGGGCAGGGGACGGGGGTCTGAGGCGGGTCTGATTCCTGGACCAGGGCCTGCCGGCGGTCGCCACTCACCCCTTCGGTCTCAGACCGGCCTGTTCCAGGGCTCGAGGGTGGTCCAGGGTGGGCTCCAGTCCGGACCCAACAGATGGAGTGACCAGACCAGGGGTCTCCAGACCTGTGCCCCAGGGGGCCAGGGACCACCCCAACCCCCGTCCACTGTTTCCTTCCCAAAGTCAGCGGCAACAGCAAGGAATAAATTAAATTAAAAACTCAAGTCTTTCGGATTTCACCATAAAAGAAAAGCACTGCTGAGAGGTTCTTGGCTTCTCCAGGACTCTAGAAGAGCCCGCCTGGCCAGGCACCGGCCAGCTTCCGGGCCTCTCGGGCCTCGGGGTCTTTAGCCACACACCCCGCAGGGCTGGTCGTGGGGTGGCGGACAGCCCCCCAGCCTGGCAGGGGCAGCACCAGTCGTGGGAGAATCGGAGTCTTTCTCTGGTCTCTAGGCAGGGCCGTCCAGGCGGGCCGGGACTAGGAGCCCAGGAGGGTCCACAGAACGGGCACCGCGCCAAGGACGAGCCGGCAGCTCCCCAAGCCGCTGCAGGAGTTGTTGCTGGTGAAGATGGGCTCAGGGGCCTCGTACAGGGTCTCATCTGGAGGGACAAGGAGGCAGACAAGTGGGTCATCAGGTGGCCCCGCCCCCCCACCCCCCCTCCCTAACCAGCTGCACCGCCCCCAACCGGCCGCACCCCCACACCAGGGCTGATCAGCCTCAGCTGCGCCCGCCCCCCCACCCCGGCTGGGGCACTTCTGACCGTCTTCACTGGGCAGAGCACAGCAAACAGCAGGTGCCAAATCATGGGTGTCCGGCACCTGGGGGACATCACGAGGGACTGTGGAGACCCCCTCCTCTTTGGATGTGGCTCTGATGGTTCAAGAGTTCAGGACATGGGCCCTTTAGATCTATCTCAGGAAACTCCGCTGATGCTCACTCTTGGGGGAACAGGGCTCTGGCCTCAGCACAGGGCCAGGTCCTGACCTGTACTCCTGAGGGTCTGAAACGCTGTCCTCATTTACAGATGGGGAAACTGAGGCTTGGGCAGAGGCTGGCGCAGCCATCGCTGAGGTCATGGGACTCCCAGGGCTGTGCTCCAAGCACTCTGGCCCTGCTGACCACAGAGTGGGTTCTGTGGGTTCGGGACACAACGGTGGGGGACTGAACCCTGCACAGTGCCCTGAGGACTTACTAGTCGGCCGGACATAAACCTTCAGCCTCAGGCAGGGCCGGTCCACAGCATTGGGAGGCGTGGCAGCTGGAAGAGAGGGAGACGGGGATTGGTGGAGTAGGGGACCTCCTGGGGCCATGTCTCATTTCCCACACTGGCAGCTCAACCCACCCCCCCAAGGCTATGGGAGGCACCCCCCCGTAAAACTCCTGACCATACATCAAAGCCCCAGACAGGACGCTCTCTGTTTCCCAGAAGTCCTCCTGCGCACTCCCCCTGCCCCTCCCTTTGCTGAACCTGGACCCCAGAGAATGGAGGTGTCTGTCTGGTTCCATCTCACCCCACGGCAGCACAGGGAAAGGTGATGAACAAAAATGTGTTTGTTTTGAACGGGTCAGCAAAAAAAAAATCAGTATAACCCAATGATTGATCTGGGATCAGATACCTGTTCTCTGGTGCCCGTGGGCAAGTCACCCCCTATCTGGGCCTCATCTGTCACACTGTACGTGCTTTGGAAATGATGGCCTCTATGTGGGAGCCAGCAGAAGCCAGTAACCCCTGGGACAGAGGCTGCACTCCCACCTCCCCCTGAGAGGGACCCACACTGCTGGAGGTCACGCGGAGGCAGAAGCATGGTCGGGCCTTGTGCCTAACATCCCATTTTTGCTCCCTGCTTCTTGGCCCACATGAGAGTACCCTGCAGGGGACGGGGGTAGTACGCGGCATCAGCAGAGTCACAACAGAGGGGGACTTGGGGCCCAGGACAGGGAGGGGGAAGGAGGCCCAAAGGCCAGTGAGGGCCAGTGGGGTTCACACATGGGAAGTCTGTTCACGCACACAGACAGCCAGGCCTCCTGGTGGCTGCCTCCTCCGCCCTTCCCCCTAGAAGCCGCTTGTGCTGGGAGATGAAGATTAAAAAGCACGTAATAAAAATAACATTCGTCACAGAGATAGAACGAATGATTACAATAATTATCTTTATGAAACTCCCGTCCTGGAAAGAAAAATGTAATTTTTCTTATATTATGAGGACTTAATTTAAACACCTTCTTCCCCCTTCCTCCACCCACTTTTTCCTTGAATTAAAAGGAAAATATCCAAATAGACCAGCAAGGAAGAATGAGGTTTGTACAGTTTAATTTGACGCAGCGGGAACCAGGGCGGCGAGGGGCGGCCTCTGCCCACAGCCTGGCTCCCCTCCTGGCTCCCCAGAGGCCCCAAGATGCTGAGCAATGGGGACCCCCACAACACCGTGGTGCTTCAGTGCTGCCCAGAGGCATCAGCCGGGTGACAAGGTGGGCACCCGGAGGCCCCCATGTTGGTGGGGCGTGACGCCCAGGCCCCAGGATCCTGGCTGAGGTTCATGGAGAAGAACACAGCACGATCTGGACCCAAACCCAGGCCCAGCTCTGCTGTGTTCCCGCCTCCCCGCGCCCTGCCACGGGGACTTTATGGGGAAGCACACAGGGGCCCCCTGGGACCACCCCCATGGGCAGCAGAGCCAGGGGCAGCCCACCCTGTGCCCCAGTGGGGCTGTGTGTGCCTGAGGGTCCCAAGCCTTGAAAAGCAGCTCCCAAGGTCCTTGGGGAATCTTGGGCCAGGTGGGCCAGATGGGGGAGACTGGGTGGCGGGGGGAAGCTGGGGGGCACCTGGGAAATATCTGCCCAAGCCAGGCGGTCGGGCAGAACATGGGCTCTGTCCTCTCACTGGCTTTGACCATGCTTCCCTGCCCCACCAGGTTCCCCGTGCCTGCGTCCCTCCTCACTGCAATGGTGGGGAGCACCCCTGGTCTCAGGATTGGACAAACCCATGGTGGCCTGGTCCAGAGACTGAGGTCCCAGAAGGGAAGCTGTGGGTTTGGACTCTCAAGGCCCCTCTGAGCCTGTTTCCCCATCTGCAAAATGGGGACCCTTGACAAGCCTCTGGGGCTTGCTGGAAGGATACCATTCAAGAGCTTGAGCCCAGGGAGACAAAGGCCAGGGTGGGAGGAGGGCCCCAAGGGGACAGTCCAGCCCAGACCCCATCTCCCTGGGAGGGGCCTCTGCCTCCAGCACGCGGGCGCACGCTCCACGCCCTCCACCCCCACCCCCCCACACCCGCCCCGGCACCGACTCAGTACCCCGCCCCCGCACCCCAGCGCACTCACAGATGTAGTAGTACTCGTGGCCCGGCCGGAACTCGAAGCCCAGCGAGAAGGGCGTGAAGAGCTGGAACTTCTCCGAGAACTTGAGCGGCCCCCCGGGCGCCGCCGGCCGGTTGCACTCCCAGCGCTTGAAGCCGCGCTGCCGGTGGTCGCAGGACGCGTGGCCCTCGCCGTTGACCATGTACAGCACGTAGTGCTCCATGCGCTCGGCCGGCGGCAGCGGCGCCCCGTAGTGCGGGCAGTAGATGTCCAGGTAGTCGTTGATGCTCACCTCCACCGTGTAGCCGCCGCCGTCGTCCGCCGCGCCCGCGTGGAACCTGCGGCCCCGCGGTCCGCGCGGCGGGGCCGGTCGGGGGAGGGGGCCGGAGGGGGGCCGGGTCAGTGCGAGGGGTGTGGGGGGCCGGGGGCGCGGGGAGAAGTCCCAGGGCTCGAGCCCACGTGCCCACCCCCCACCCCCAGGCCGCCGCGGGCGCCCTGGGGTCCGGGCTCGCCCTGGCCTCCCGCCCACCTGCTTGGGGGGGAGGGGCGGCCGCCGGGCCTGCTGGGTAACCGCAGGCCGCCGAGCCGGTGCGGCGCCGCTGGACCCGCTCCCGTCCCCGCCCCCCACCGCCGGGCATCCGGGCCGTCTGTGGCAAGCGGCGCTGGCGCGAGCTCCTTCCCGTCACGAAATCCGTCTCCGGAAAAACGCTATCGCCTGACCCCACGCCCCTCCTCCAGGAAGCTCCCCCCACTGCCCCCCGCAGGCAGCCCCCTCAGCTTTCCCTCTGCAGATCTGGCTGCCAAGAAGGTCCCGGGTGGGGGCGCCTGGGTGGCTCAGCGGGTGAAGCCTCTGCCTTCGGCTCAGGTCATGATCTCGGGGTCCTGGGATCGAGCCCTACATGGGGGGCTCAGCAGGGAGCCTGCTTCCCCCCCACCCCGCCCCGCGCCTGCCTCTTTGCCTACTTGTGATCTCTGTCTGTCCAATAAATATAAAATCTTTAAAAAAGAAGAAGGGGCGCCTGGGTGGCTCAGTGGGTTAAAGCCTCTGCCTTTGGCTCAGGTCATGGTCCCAGGGACCTGGGATCGAGCCTCACATCAGGCTCTCTGCTCGGCGGGAAGCCTGCTTCTTCCTCTCTCTGCCTGCCTCTCTGCCTACTTGTGATAAATAAATAAATAAATAAATAAGAAATAATATAAATAAATAAATAAATATAAATAAATAAATAATATAAATAAATAAGAAAATAAATAAGAAAAAAGAACAAGAAAAAGAAGAAGGTACAGGGGGCTGTGGGGACACAGGCTGGGTGTTCTGGGCCCCAGGGGGCTAGTTCTGACCCCTCTCCTAGCCTCAGTGCCCTGTGAAGGAAGCCCCCTCCCAGCTCAGATGTGCTCTGGGTTGGACCCCCAGCCCCAACTCCTTCAGTCCCTGTGACCCTAGCAAGTCCAAGATCCTCCCTCCAGAGCCCCTAGAATTTGGCCACTGTCCCCTCCGGCCTCTTGGTCATAGCAGCGGCTTCCCCCACCCCTGACACCTCTGCCCCTCAGCCCTACTTCCCAACCTTTGCCCTGGAGGTCCCCCCACCGTCATGCAGCCTGCACCCCTTCCTTGGGGAGGCCCTCCTCCCGGGAGCCGGTCAGCTGAGAGAGGAACAGGAAGCCCCCCCACACCATCACTGCCTCAGGCTAGAGTGCCAGGAGCCCTTAGATCTCCCTGCTGTGGTCCCCTGGGTCCCTGTCATGTGAGGTGGGACAAGGGGGCCTCCGGGGAGGAGATTATCACATAAAAGGCCCAAGCAGGGGAGGGTTGGGGCGCAGGCTCCCGGGCTGCCCCTTCTCCCTCTCCGCACAGGCTTGGACGCTGAGCCCCAGTGAGGTCCACGGCAGGGACGGCCTGGTGGCTTGGACTCCAGCTCTGCCGTGCCAACCGCCCCAGTGCGGGGGGACGGGGGAGCAGCGGTGTGGCCCCCATGCCGGGCATGCTGACTGGGGGGGTGGCTGGATTATCAGAAGACCTGCGGTCCCTGAGACTGCACCGGTCGAGGGAGAGGGCTCCTAGGGCTCCAGCGGTGGGAGTGAGGCGAGCAGGAGACCTTGCTCGCTTGTGCCTCAGTTTCCCAGTCTGCACAAGCGTCTCATAGTGATTTCAAGTCTGTGGCTGAGATGGGGGCTCCAAGAATTCCTGGTCAGAGCGTCGGAGGGAGCAGGCTCGTCACCAACCCCTTCCGTGCTCCTGGGGATGTCCAGCAATGGGGAGCTCAGCTCCCCCCCGCCAGAGGTGGGCTGGCGTTTACAGACTCAGGGCAAAGAGCAGGGAGACTCGGGAAGTGGGGTCTGGTGGGGTCAGCAGAGTTCTGATCAGGCACAAGCCAGCACCCAGCTAGGCCTTGTGGTTCCTTCTCAGAAGCCTCAGTTTCCAACTCTGTGCAGTGGGGACAGTCTTTGAGACTGATGGGGGAACCCCAGGCATGTCCACTGTGGACCCTGCAGAGGTGGAGCCGCCCTGGGTCAGGGTCAGGCCGGGGCAGGGTGGGCCCGGGGCAGGGCCAGGGAGGACTGCCCTCAGCCGGTCAAGCACGGCTGTCTTGTGGGCTGGGTCTGTTCTCCAGTTGCTTGGGCAAGACCCATGCAGAAGCCCCATCAGGCTTTTTCAGGCCTCTCTGTTGCTCCTTCCCAGCCCACCGGAAGCCCCACCGATCCGCCAGTCAACAAGGGCCAAGCGCCTGGTGGGACTGCCAGTGCCCAGCCCCGCAGGGGAAGTGGAGACACAGAAACCACAGTTAGGGGGGATGCCCGGTAGGGCGTGTAGGGCCGAGCTGCTGTGCTGCCGTCCTGGCCCTGGCCCCCTCTGGGCCTCAGTTTCCCCTCTCCTCCCTGGCATCAGGCAGGGATTACACACTCAGCCTGGAGAGGACAGCTTAGCTCTCCGTGGGGCCCTTCTCAGGAGGCAGGGCTGCCCAAGCCTCAGCAGCTCTCCCCACTCCGCCCCTGCCCGTGCTTCTCCCACAATGTCTGCCTTCCTCCCTGCACTGGACCAACGTCCTTCCCCTCTCCCATTTCATCTTCCAAAAAACGTCCGAAGCCGAGGCTGCTTGGCTGGTTCAGAGGCTGGATGCATGGGCCCCAGCAGGCAGGCCGGGACCCCGGCCTCCCAAAATCCAGGGCTCGCTCTTCCGAATGTAAATCAGACCCTGTGATCCACTGGCTCACAGCTCAGCATTGCTCAGAATAAACCCACAGTCCTCCCAGGTCACGAGGTCCAAAGGCCCCACCGTTCCCACCCTGGTTGCCCTGTGATTGCTCCCAGCTCACGCCCTTCTAGCCACACCCGCCTTCCAGCTGGCCCTGTCCTGACCCCAGGACCTTTGCACACGCTGTCCCCACTGCCTGCGCCTTCCACCTCATCACATATCCCATTTCAACGTCATCACACTTTTTACCGTCACGCAGTCTGCGGTCTGCCCTCCTGGGCCATGGGGGTCAGCCTCCTCCTCCACCCCTCCCCTCCGTGCCAGCACAGGCCCTGTACACAGCATCTTGACACATGTTCGCTGACCAAACGAAGGCCTGAGGCTCAAGGTTTTTGAGGGGCTGGAGTCATAGGAAGCAGACCCAGTGGGCGAGGACCCCAGGTAGGTGGGTCCCAGAACCACCCCCACCCAGCCTCTGGCTGCCTAAGTGGACCATTTGTTTCCATCCCGCAACCCCCCCCCGGCTCTAAAATAGCGATGGCCTTGCTGCGTTGGCATTCCGGGTTCCAAGTCGGCGGGCAAACCAGGGGCGGGCGCCTGGCCCCTGCTCAGGGTGGCGCCTGAGCGGGGGAGGGGCCCAACCCCAAAACCAAGCCAGTGGGAGCAAGACAAAGCTTTCATTTTCTCCATTAGTGCAGAAGCATGATGGGCAAGTGCTCCGTGGGAACAGCCGGTCGAGACAGCAGTTCTCACTAACGGGTTAATGACTGCCGCGGGATGGGTTCCCAGACAGAGGGCTCCTGAGGCTTTCAGACCTACACCAACCCCTCCCCTGCCACACCTTCACCCGCTCCTGCTCAGCCTGCCGGCTCCACCGGCGCTGTGCACTCCTCCAGGCAGCCCTCCCAGCCCCTGGTGGGCACAACCCTGCCCACCCCCCCACCCTGCCAACCGCAGGCCTGCAGCTAATTAGTTTCAATCGGGCCATTGTCAAGTCATTAGACACTAATAGCAAAGCAACTAATTAGGAGTCTCACCCAAAATGGGAGCGGGGCAGGGAGAGCTGCACCGCCTCCCCAGACCAGAAATTGAGGCAGGGGTGAGGCGGGCAGGACGGCAAGGTGCTGTGCACCCCTGCTGCACGCGGGACTGTCTCCCTGGTCTGAGCCCAGTCGCAGCTGCCAGCGAAGGGGCCGACAGACGCCTGTGTCGAGACCCCAGCAAGGGGTGCCCTGAGTGGGCAGCAGGGCCGAGGCCCAGGCTGGGGCAGGGCCAGCCCCTCTCCCGACTCTCAGCGGGGGCCCCCAAGACCTCGGCACCCACCCCTAGCTTTCCGAGGGTAGAAAGACACCTCCCCCGTCTGAGACCTGGCCGCCTTCCTCCTAGCGCTGGGGCGCTGGGCGGGGCCTCCGAGAGACTGGGGCCGCAAGGGAACGCAGGGTCAGCCCAGGAAAGGCTGAGTATGGCCTCCCGTGTGCCCAGACAACCCAAATCGAGAGGTAGAACAATGAGGCAGGTGCTCACAAGACGGGGGGGCGGGGGGGGGGAGCCGGTCTCCGACACCCCTGCCCCCCAGGATGCTCCAGACACGCCTGTCTCTAGGAAGGGGGTCATCCGACGGGGCCATGGATGAGTACCTCCCCACCGGTGCATAACGGGGTGGGCAGGTCACACAGGGTGCAGGGCTGCGGCGGGGGGGGGGCAGCTGAGGGGACAACCAGGCTCACGTGGTGGACGGAACCCCTCGAAGCCATGGTCCCCAGGTCCAGCTGGAAGACCGAGGCACGGCGGCTGAGCCCTCTGCCCTGTGGGACAAGAGTGCAGGCCTCGGGGTGAGACCCCGGCCAGGGCTGGCCTGCCAGAGTTCAAAGTCTGGCCAAGGTGAAGACCCCGCCAGCTGTCTGTGCCGAGACGCACCTGCCTTTCGGCTGTGTGGGGGCAGGAAGGTGGCTCTGCCCTTCCACTGGCACAGCAGCTGGCATCGAGGGGCAGGAGACCCGGCCAAGCCTTGCTTTGGATCCAGCTCCAGAAGAGAAAATCCCCCCAAAGCCACACCACGGGGCAAGGCTGGCTGTGTCCCCGCTGCCTAAGGAGGGGGAAGGGGCGTGGGGGGTGTCACGGGGAAAACACGGGTCCAGCTTAGGGGTTGTGGGATGGGGCCTCAGAGACTCGGCCTCCCAGACTGCCTTAGTGCACCTGCTGTCCCGAGAGCCAGCTCCGGCCATGGTCCTGAGGACCCCGCAGGGACGTCTGCTGGGGGGCCTGGGTCGGCGCCCCCAGGCAGACGAGGCCCCAGGCTGCTGCACATACAGCGTATCCTGGGGCCTCGGCCACGAGCCTCATTCTTCATCTGCACGCGGATGCTGCCCACGGCGGTCTACCATTGGGGGGGACGGAGGCCGGGGACACAGAGGACCCCTCGCCCGTCCCCCGCAGGTGGGGGCGTCGCAGTGCAGGCTGCCCCACCGCGGACCCAGTCGCAGACCCCACCGAGGACCCCGCTGCCGACCTCTCCGCAGACCCCATCGCCGACCCCTTAGCAGACCCCCTGGCGGACCCCGTCCCGCTTCCCTGCTCCTCACCCGCTCTCAGGGCCGCAGTCGCTATCACTGCGAATGCGGGGCCGAGCCCCAGAGGCCCCCGCGTTTGGCCGGCAGGAGCTGCCTGGGTTTCCCTCTGAGCCCCCGGGGTCACAGCCCTGGCCAGCCCAGCCCCTGGGCTCTGTGCCCGCGGGCTGCGTGCCGCACCGGCCCGCCCCACTCCACAGAGGAGACGGGAGGCTCCCAGCAGCCCCGCCTGCCTCTGGCTTCCCGGGGTTCCCCACGGCACCCCCAGCCCCACGGGGCCCCGCTCGCCAAGCCCTGGACGCCAGGCACGCTAACCTCTCTCGAACGAAACAGAAAACCCTCCCACGGCAAACCACAGCAACAGCCGGTGGAAGCCGTTCCTCCCTGGAGGCCCGGGTGAGGCTGCAGGGCCGGGGGCCCAGGGACACCCGGCACCTGCACCCCAGAGAAGACGCTTCTCCAGTCACCATGCTCCTGTCCGCAGCCCCCTGTCGCAGAAGCACCCCGACCCCACTCAGAGGCACACGCAGCCCTCAGTGTGCCCGACCTGCCCGGGGAGGGTGGGCTCGAGCCCCCACCCCCAGCCCCGTGGCCTCTCGGGAGGCCGGTCTCCGTCAGGTGGGGCCTCTTGGGGGTGGGGGGCGCCCTGCACGACGCCGGCCCTGGGCCTCCCAGGCCCCTCGAAGCACAGGCAGCCTGGGGCCCCCCAGGACCGACGCACACCCACCCTGGGGAGGACACAGCCAGCTCCAGCGGGACAGCGGGGCCTCCGCGGGGACAGCAAGCCGCGCCATCGGTGTGGACGGTCAGACCCCTCCATGGAGGCTCCGGGACGGCCAGGCCAGGCCGCGCACACAGACACACATGTGCAGACATGTGTGCTCCACGCCCAGCCACACCAGACACATGTGTGCGCCCCCCACGGCCCCGCAAGAGATCCACGTGCCCCCAGACACCACACACATCCCACACACAGACACGCGTGCAAACACGCCGGAGCCAGGCGCCGTGCACACGGAGCACATGCGTCACCCTGCCGCACACGCAGACCTGCCCCTCCTGCGCCCCTGGGACCCTGGCATGTCCTGGACGAAAACCCGCACCTACACCCAGACACGCGGCCCGAGACCAGAAGGCGCACGGAAGCTTCCCGGCGTGGCACACCTGCCCCAAGGGAGGGCGGCTGGCCCGGGACCCCTGGCCCCGACACCCAGCGGCCAGCCCAGGGGCGACCAGGAGGGGCCGGCCGGACAGACGGCTGGACGGCCAACCCAGGGGGGTGCCGGGGCCTGGTGACCGGCTGGACCGCAGGGCCCCACCCTACCACAGCCGTCCGCGGGGTGCGGGGGGCCGTCTGCTGCCGCGTGAGCGCAGGGAACGCGCCGCGCACGGCGGGAGAATGTCGTTTGGGACACGGAGCCGCATCCCTGTACCTTGGTGCGGGTGCGAGGCTCAGGCGGGCGAGAATGGCCGGCCTCCCCACAGCACTGCCCGTGCCTGGCTGCGCCCGCTCCCCTCTGAGCACACCCGTTCCTCTGGCTCCTCCACTGACCGCCCAACCCCCACTCCAGTGTGCTCAGCCCTCATTCTGACCCCCTTCCTTGCCCGCCCTTTGTGTGTGCCCCTCTCCCACTCAGGCACGGCTCCCCCACCCTGGCCTTGCGTTTCCCCACCTCTACCTGCCACAGCTGCTGGCAACCCAGCCAGGCCTGTGTCTCGCGTCCCTACCCGTGGGGCCACCTCCTGCTGCAGGCCCTGCTCGCTGACCCTGTACCTCTGCTCTGGGCCATGTCCCTGGGACTTGTGCCTTCGGGAAATCTCCATTCCGGGCGCCCTCGGACCCGAGGCCCAACACCACCCCTCCTCCTGTGTCCGGCACACACCCTGTCACTGGCCACGGGTTCCAGGCCAGCCACCCCCAGATGGCAAGCCTCCTCCTGGGGGGTCCCTAGACCACCGAGGCCTTCGGTCAGCCGGTCGGAGTGGGGGCTGTCAGGTTCACCACAGACGGTGTCCGAGCGGCCGGGCAGAGCCAGGCTCCAGGGGTGGCCTCCAACCCCCCGCTGGGATCCTGCCCGTAGCCCTGTGGCAGGTGGGGCAGCGGGCAGCCCCGAACACTCCCTTCCGTCCCCATCTGAGGCTCCTCATGTGTTTGGTGTTTGCTAGAACAAAGGACAGGCTATGCCTGGGACGGAGATTCCAAAGCTGAAACCGAAAACTTGGGCCGGGGAAGCCCTGCCCGCTGGGGTCCCCCCCTGCCCACTGGGCTCCCCCGCTCAGCCGCAGTGAAGAGCCTTAATCAAACCCACATGTAACTGGCGGGGCAGGCGGCTCAGGGAACCCGCTCCATGGCGGCCTGGCTGTCCCTCTGCAGCCCAGGGTCTCTGCCCTCTGCCCCGGGGCCCAACCCCACAGCTGGACAACTGAGGGGGTGTCTGGGTGCGCTCCCTGCCCCCCACGGCAGGACACTGGCTACCCTTGTCCCAGGGTCTGCCTCAAAGACAGCCCTTTATGCAACTTTCTGCCTGAGGATGGAGAACGCCAGGGGACGGGACCGGGATGGCAGGGGACAGTGGGCTCTGGAGGGTGTCTGCCGGCACTCGGAGCAGGGGGAAAGTGACCAGTGACCCAGGGACAGGAAGCAGGGAGGCTGGCCTCCCTGGCTCCTATGTGCAGCCCAGCCAGTCATGGGAACACAGTGTAGCCAGGAGTGCTGGGGCTGACCCCAAAGCCGTAGGAGCTCCAAGCCCATCTCCCATGGGACCCCCAGTGCACTCAGCCTCCGAGAGCCAGAGATGGCCCAGAGGCTTCAGCAGATGTTCAGGACATGGTCAGTCACCAGCAAACTTTTCCCACCCCGACTGCCAGGGACTTCTGCTGCCCCCCAAACTGCACTTAGCACTGGACACCGAGGGGGATGTGCAGGCAGGCAGGACACCTCAGCCAGCCACAGCAGGCTGGACACGAGGTCACCTGGGTCCCCACCCCAGCTTGGCTCCCCTCACCGTGACCTTGAGCCAGCCACTGAGCCACTCTGTGCCTCGGGTTCCCCACCAGCACCAGGCAGACGGGAGAGGATGCTGCTGGGTCGGACCCCCAGACTGCGGCCCGGAACCCCATCAGCCTCAGTCTCCCCATCTCTACAAAGTTGGGACCAGGGACCCCCTGGAGTGAAGGCAGTTAGGGGCTGGCGGGGAGGAATACATTAACTTCCCCAAGTTCACGTGGGGACCCACTGCAGGACGTACCCACGGCCCCCTTGCCCTGGGGGCCACGGTGCCCCATGTGGCACAGTTCAGCGACAAGGTTCCCCGGGGATCTCCTCCAACTATGACGCCGGCAGGGGCCCCCCGGAGAGGCCCCAGGATGGGGGACCCCCAAGTCCGGGGAAGGAACTCGGGGCTGAGCAGCTCCTGAGGGTGCCCGAGGGGGGGTGCCCCCCAACTCCGGGGCCGGCGGCGCTCGGGGCGTGCAGGGCGTCCGGTGGGGCGCGCGGGGGGTGGGGTGGGGGATGCACGAGGAGCGGGAGTCCCCCGAACTCCCGGGCGCCGGAACTCCCTCGGGGCTGGCGCGCGGGACCCGGCGCCCCCACTCCCGAGGCGGAGCGCGCGGGGGGCCGCCCCGAGTCGGGGCGGGGAGGCCCGGCCCGGGCGGCGGGAGGGTCGGGCGGGGGTCGGGGGGCCCGGGGCGCCGGCGCCGCCTCCCCGCGCGCGGCCGCGCTCACCTGGGGTTGCTGCGGTTCCAGTAGACAGCGTAGCGGTCCGAGTTGGCGCGGGCGGCGTCCTCGGCGCGCGCGAAGGGCGGCGGCGGCGGCAGCGGGAGGAGCAGCAGCAGCAGGGGCAGCAGCGGGCGCTGCGCGGGCGCCATGGCCCCGGTCCGGCCGCCCCGCGCTCGCCTGGCCGCCGCCTGCCAGCCGTCTCCGCCTCCTCCGCCGCCGCCGAGCGGGCGGGCGCGGGGCGGGCGGGAGGAGGGCGCGCCGGCGCTTGGAGATCCGCGGCCGCCCTCGCCCGGGCGCGCGCGACCTCGGGCGCCGAGAAGGCAGGCGGCGGCGGGCGACGCGCCGGGGTCGCCCCGGGCGCCGGCCCCGGCCGCGGACTCTCGCAGCGCGGGCCGCCGCCGCCGCCGCAGCCGCTGGGGAGGGGCCGGGGCTCCGGCCTTTGTCCCGCCCGAGCGCCGGGAGGGCCGCGGGCGCCCCCTCCTGCCGCGCCCCGGCCACGCGGGGGTCTGAGCGCCGGGGTGGGAGGTGCGGGGGCTCCTGCCTCCAGCGCGCCCGCCAGCCTGGCCGAACCGTGCCGGGCCGGTCCCGGGTGGGGCTGCCTGCTGCGGGCATACCAACCCCTCCGCCCCGCCCCGCCCCCGCCCCAGCCTCGCCGGGGTCCTGCCCCGGAGACACCGGACTCGGACTCGGAGTGTGCCCGCCTCGTGCCACCCCCCTCCCCATGATCACTCTCACTAGGACCTGGCCGAGGGTCCCCGAGTTCCTGTCAATCGGGCCACCAAGGCAGTCTGCAGAGCCTGACGGCTGGCAAGGGGCAGGAGGCCCAGGGAGGATTCACCCATCTCCCCTCGATCATTAAACCCAGACCCCACATCCTGAACTAGGCTGAGCTAACTCCCTGCCTCCCTGCTCCCCCGAAGTCCAAAGTCCTGGACCACCAAAGCTACTGCCTCCCTGGGGGACTCCAGGACCATCACTCATCCTCTCTTGGCCTCCGTTTCCTCTTCTGGGAAATGGAACCCGAGTCCCTGCTTCAGCTCCTAAGGGTGCCGGGCAAATAATAAGGCCGGACACAGTCTAACCGCACCGTTCAGGGTGGGCGCCAAGCAGCCCCGTGTGGGAACCAGGCCAGCAGCAGATTAAGGCGACACACAGGCGAAATCCGTTGGGGGAGGAAGGCCCGGAAGGGTACTTGGGCAGAGGGTACAGCGTAAGCAAAGGCCCAGAGTGCCTGGCCTGTTCAGGGGACTCAGAGTCATCGCTCCTGGGCAGCTGACTGCAGGTGAGGAACTGGGGGCCTGTCCATCCACTGCTGTCCTTGGTCACGCCACAGCCTTTCTGTCTGTCGAGGTGCTCTGTCCCCAGGTGCTGGCTGGAAACTGTCATGGCGTCCAGCCGGGTCCCACCGCTCTGGGTTTGTTTCCCGGGCCCAGGCCCGGTGAAGTACAAGGTCCAGGAGCCAAGAGCGCTTGAGCTGGAAGTTCCCACGTGAGGGGTTACCACAAGTCCGGAGACTGGCAGAGCAAGCGTCACCTCGGCCAGGTGGATGGACCCATCCCGGCCATGTACCTCCGGTGCGTCGCTGCTGTACCCAACGTGCGTCCCGGCCCGTGCTCTGGCTGCGGCCTCTCTCAGAGTCCTTCCCTTCCTCTGGCCTTTGGGTTCCGCTCATGTATCCAGGCCTGTCCGTCCCTGCCCCCCGCCCCCGCCGGCAGGTTCTCAGTCCTCTGCGCTCCGGGGAACTCAGCCGGTCTGTTCTGGGTGTTCTGGCTTCTGGGTTTATCCTCTTACCTGACTACGGGCACCCAAGTCTCAGGGTGGCCCCGTGGCTCCAGAGAGCAGGGTGGGAACCTGTCCACAGCCAGTGGCCAGGGCAGGCCCAGCAGGCCCAGAGAAGCCAGAACTGGCTTGGGGTCACCTGGCAGGGCCTTCAAATACAGCCTGTGGACAGCGCGGACTGCGGGCCGGGGGCTCCAGTAGCACAGGCCGGCCTCACCCAGGCTGATGGGTCTGGCTCTTCGGAGAGCACAGGGGTGGTCGCTCCTAGTGGGGACCCCTCCCCAGGCACAGGTATGGCAGTAGGGCCATAAGCCCCGTGGGGGGCAGCATGCCCAGCCCAGTCCAGTGTCCTGCTTGACGAAGAGGGGCCTTCTGGAAGCTCCCTCTGTCCTCTGATTTGATGGGACCTCACAGTTGGGCGTGGGGTCTCTTCCATCAAAGCCTGCAGGACTTGGACCCGCAGGGGCGAGGGGAGCTGGGCAGGGCACACCAGGCAGAGGGCACTGCCTGACAGAGGCCCCGCGACGGGTCTGCTCATTTGCATGCAGGGGCAACCAAGGCAAGAACCGCCAGAGCCGCTGTCTGAGCGGATTTGAGCTGAAGCTCTGTTTTCCTTCTGTTCTTGTCTCTCTCTCAAGGTCAGAGCCAGAGCAGGGACAGGAACAAAGGCGCACGTCCCCCATTCAGCCTCTCTGCGCCCCCGCAGGCAGCTCCTGGAGGAGGGGCCCTGCGAAGGGGAGGGCAGGGCACTCCAAGGCCTGGCCCCAGGCAACGTGGGGGCGGGGGCACAGTGGCTCCTGGGGACTCCTGTCCTACCGGGGGCCCCTGTGGGCACCTGGAGGCCCTGACCCCGGGGCTGGCGGCCATCTCAGCCTCCAGGTGCCGCCAGCGGTGGCGGGGGGGGACGTCAGCTGGGGCAGGGATCATTCTGGGGTAAGCTTCTTCTGGAGTGAAGAGTCAGAGATCAGGTTCCCTCTGGGGACAGGGGTCAGTTTTGGGTTCAAGGCTCAGGCAAGGTCAAAGGTCATTCAGGGTTGGCTGTCAGCCCCCGGCCCAGATCCAGAATAGGGTCTCTGATGGGGTACGTCCCTGTCCACCAGGTCTTGGGGTCTGCCCCAGACTCGGGGAGGGTCTTGTCCAGGCCAGGCCCGGACTGCACCCCTGACCCCCACCCCAGTTCCCGCCACCTGCTGCCCACAGGGTGAGTCCCCGTGCCTTGGGATCAGCACCCAGTGCCCTTACACCTGCGAAGCCTGCAGTGGCAGGAGAAAGCTAAGGGCATGCTGGAGAAATTTCTCGGTAAAGAACAGATTAGACCCAAGCTGCCTCCGCCTCGGCTCTAACGGGTGTCCGTGGCCCCGGCTTGGCCAGAGGGAGACCCTACCAGAGCCAGCAGAGGAGGCCCCTCAGCTCCTGGGAAGACACCTGGCCTTGACCCCTGCCAGGGGCCATCAGCCCAGTTCAGCCTGGCTGTGAGACGTCCCTTCGGGAGCTTGAGCGACCAGATGGGGAACTGAGGCTGGGGGCGGGTCCTGTCCTCCGTGGGAGCCCGAGACCCAAACCCGGCCCTTGGCCGTGCCTAGCGTGTGTGCCGCTGGTGACAGTGGTGGGGAATTGAGGTGTCGGGAGGGGCCTCCAGGGCTCTGGGCAGTGGATCTGTGCACCCCCTCCCTCCCGGTGCAGGAACACTGGTGTGTGTATCCACATGCTTGCGCATGCGTGCCAGAGGTGGAGGGGCGTTCGGAGCCCCCCCCCTCCTGCTCATCCACGTGCACACATGGGCCCTGGACCCGGCAGGCCCTGGGCGGGGACTTTCATCTCCAGCTGACAGGCCCCTCTCCTGGCTTTTAGCCGCTGAGAACTTCCTGCTAATAGTGCATTAACCTTGGCGGGGGCCGCCAATCACTCGGCGCCCACACGGGGGTGTGGGTGCGCAGGGACGCGGCAGCTGACAGACGTAAGGGCCGGGAAGCTGGCGGGGGCACCCCACCCTGCCCAACTGGGGTGGGCATGAGGCGGCCGGGCCTGGGGGGGACATGCAGTGTGTTCCCAGCTCCGGGTGGCAGAGCGCAGGGTCTCTCCTGACCTCATTAGAGTAATTAATGTGCCTTTTGAAGCTCGAAAAATCGCTCAGAGCTGTGGGAAAGGGGCACAGATCACAGGACGGGAGAGCTGGGGATGGCGTCTGTGTGCCTGTTAAAAATGTGCCCCAGGGGGCGCCTGGGTGGCTCGGTGGGTTAGGCCGCTGCCTTCGGCTCGGGTCATGGTCTCAGGTTCCTGGGATGGAGCCCCGCATAGGGCTCTCTGCTCAGCGGGGAGCCTGCTTCCTCCTCTCTCTCTGCCTGCCTCTCTGCCTGCTCGTGATCTCTGTCAAATAAATAAATAAAACTCTTAAAAAAAATTAAAAAAAAAATGTGCCCCAGCGGGTCTGATACACGGGGACGGACGGAAAAGAAGAGCGAGGGGAAGAGACGACGCAGGAGAGAAACAGACAAGCAGGCGGAGAGTCACAGTCAGAGGAAGCCGCACCAGCACAAAATCATAGAGACAGAGACCCGTGGTGGGAACAGATGGAGAAAGAGCCAGGGCCAGAGGAGCAGGGGCTGGGACATCTCCGGGCTGCCCAGGGACGCTGGCTGTGCTGGACTTTCCCGCGGGACCCTCCGTGCAAGACCTTCCCAAAGAAAAGGATGTGAGGAGCAGTCAGGGAGGACTTCCTGGAGGCAGCAGCTGGCCACCAGAGAAGAAAGGGGAAATGTGAGCCCACTTGGGGTGGGGAGGAGGCCAACTGAGATGCCGAGGGAAGCAGACTAGGGACCATCGCAGGAGACTCCGGCTGAAGGGGGGACCAGCTGGCTGTGGCGGAGACTGCTTTTCTGCGTGCTGGCAGCAGGCAGGGGCCGGGCTTTGCACGGTGGGGCAGGTCAGCCAGCCCTGGGAAGTGGACGGCCCACGGGGCTGGCAGATCCCGAGCGGGCAGCAGGCTCTGCTCATGCCCCCGCGGACAAGGTGGGGCTCAGGACAAGGCGTGAGAAACGGAGGCCCCAGCTGGCCCTATTTCCCATCTGCACCACAGGCTCTCAAGGGCAAGACAGGCCACACACCCCCTGCCCCCCCACCCCCCAGCAGGCCGGCAGGGAAGAGGCTGCATGGCACAAGGCTGCCACCTGGTGGCAGCGCCTCACAAAGACACGGCTGGGTGGCCACGGGCCAGCCCCTCTTCTCTGCCTCTCCGGCATCAAACCTAGAGGGTGGGGGGTGTCGGGCCAGAACCGGAATCTGCCCAGAAAGCGCAGCTCACAAGGAGAACGAGGCCCATGGAGAAACCCACCAACCTCCTCGCAGGGACGCTTCCACAGGGCCGCTGGGGAAGGGTGCGGCAGGCACAGGGGCCCAAGGCTGCAGAACCTCCAGCCCCCCCCCACTACCGCCCCAGGGCTCCTTGGGGAACACCCCCAAATGAGCCAGAGGTGCAAGCGCGGCCAGGCAGGACACTGGAGAATGGGACTCCGGCTTCAGCAAGCACAGAGGAGGGAGCCCTTGAATAAGGGCTTTGACCTGAACAGAGTTTTCTCTGGGCCCAGAGACAACGTCCCTGAAGAACCTTGTCCAGGCAGGTGAGGTAGGTCTCCCCCAGCTCGCCGTCTACCCTGGGGGACTCCTCACTGGACCCCCAGGACAGCTGGGGACAGGTCCACAGAAGCCCGGCTCGGTCACAGATGAGCCTCCGGCCACCTGCACGTTGTCACACAGGGTTGGGCCCCGCGCAGAGCAGAGCAGCAGCTACACATCCACGGCGGCTTTTATTGTCCCCAGCCCCACGGGAAAACGCCCCCAGACAGGTCCCTCATCCCGCCCCGCCCACCCACCCAGCGTTCGCTGGGGCTGCCCCATCCCCACGGAGCAGGGGGAGCAGCACCAGTCACAGTCCAGCCGTTCTCCGGGGCCTCTGATTTCCACCCAGCATCCGACACAGTCCTGTCTGGGCGAAGGGCCGAGGCGGCTTCGGGCTGAGGCGTGAGCGAGGCAGGACCCGTGCGGGCTCTCAGAGTCCGTGTCAAAGCTGGCAGGAGGGTCAGAGGGGCACACCAGACACTGGGAGCAGGGTCCATCTCTTGTTCTCTCCCTGGGGCTTCTGGAAATGCCGCCTCCCTGACCGGAGGAGCGTCTGGAGATGAGGAGCAGAGGGTGAGACCCCGCTGTGCCTGGGGTCCATCCTGCAAGGGATGAGCAGAGCCCGCACCTGTCCGGCCCCTCCCCCACCAAGGTCCACCACAATGAGCTGCTGGGCCCTACCAGATGGCCCAGCTCAGGAGGAGGGGCCCCCCAGCCACAGGGGATCTCAGATCACACCAATGCCTCCCCTTGGGGCCTAAAAAACCTGAAGAGTCTCCTGGTCTCTTGGCCTCCACGCCTGCACCTCCCACCCCAGCACACCGAGGTTGGGGTTAGGCAGGCCCTCACTCCTGCTTCAGACCGGTTGCCGGCTCTGCGCCCAGTGGGCCCTGATACTCCTCCGGGGCGGGGCCCGACGGAGGCCATCCCTGACCCAGCCCCTCCGCAGCTGCCCCACTGTTTTTTCTCTGCCCCGACACTGGGGCCTTCGAGGTTGGAGCACAGCCAGCACTGGTGCAAGCACCGCAGCCTTGGAGAGCTGACTACCGGAGGCCGGGAGCCGGCGAGCCCTGCTCCGGGGCCACACAGCCTGCAGCTGCAAGGCCAGCCCTGGGATCACAGCGAGGCCTCAGAGGCCCTCAGCCCCTGACCCTCCGACCTGGCCCACCCCGCTGCCCCGCGACAGGAGTCCCTGGCGCTCGAGGGGAGGCCGGCGCTACCATCTCAGATTCCGCGTTTCAAAGACGACCTCCTCGTCGCTGTCCAGCGATGCCGTCTCCGCGGGGTCTTCGCTGCTGGCCAGCAGGCCATACCTCCGCCTCTGCGGCTTCTTCAACCTGCAAGCAGGCCCAGGCAAGCTCGGGGGCCACGCGCGGGCGCGTCCAGGGCTGGGTGCTGACACCCCGTCCTGCTTCGCGCCCACCCCGCGGCCAGACCCCTCCAAGCCGCGCCACGGAGCTGCCTAGTCTGCGCGCTCCCCTCGCGCTCCGCCCACCACAGGGACTCTCCCTGGCTCCGACGGTCCTCGCGGAGGCCCGGCTGGGGAAGGGCCCCACTCCCGGCCCTCCCCCCACGCGCAGAAAGGGGACACGGCTCCGCGGACGCGGCCGGAGCCGCCGGGGCCGCGGTCGGAGCCGCCAGGGCCGCGGTCACCAGAGCCCGGGAAGGGCCTGTCCGGGGGTTCTGGGCACGCTCGGCGCCGCGGGCAAACGGCCCCGGGAGGACCCCGCCAGCCTACCCGGCCCGCCGGCCAGCGCGGGGGCGACGCAGCCGAGGTCCACCACCGACGCGCACCCCGCGGCGCCGCCGCACAGGCAGCCGCAGAGGGGCGGGGCCCATCCCGCCCCGCCCACGTGACGAGCGCGCGCCCCCAGTCCGCGCCGAGGGGCGGGGCTGGGCGCAGACACGTGAGGCGCCAGGCGCACGACGACTGGCCGCGGCTGGGCGGCGGGGGCGGCGCGCGGCGCACGCACCTGAACGCCCGGATGAGGAAGTAGAGCGCGGCCAGGCCGCTGAGGCCCGTGAGCACGTAGAAGGAACGCAGCAGCGCCGAGCCCGGCGAGCCCGGCGGCCGCGAGTACGTGCTGTTGTGCGGCGAGCCCGGCTGGCTCCCGTTCGTCACGGCGGACGTTGGCGACAGCGTGGCCTCCTCGGCTCCGTACAGCAGCGCCCGCGGCGGCAGCAGCAGCAGCAGCAGCAGGAGCGGCGGCAGCGGCACGCGCGGCCCCATGGCCCGGCGGAAGCGGTGGCTGCGCCCCGCCTCCGCAAGCAGTTGTCATTCATTGGCGCGGCGGCGGCGTCAGCCAATGGACCTCGGGGGCGGGGCCTAACGCCCGCAGAGACCCGCCCCCACCGCGCGGCTCCCCGGGTACTCTTGGGCGGGGCCCGCAGGGCGCTGAGCTCGGCCTGCTGCGCGCGCACCTCGGGTTCCCCGGCCCGCGGCCCCCAGCCCGCCCGCGCCTCCTCCCTGAGGAAGCGCTCCCCGCACGCAGTGGGATCCAAGCCCATGGCCCGCAACACCGCGGGGGGCAGTGCTCTCCAGGCGCTCGGTCCCGGGACCTGCGGCTGTTCTCACCCCGGGCCAGAGGGTGGGGATCCAGCTGGTGGGGGCACCTCGCTCTCACAGGCCGCAGGCTACACTGACCGGGCTCCGGGCTCCCTGCCATCACCCTCCCCACCCCACTGGGAGCTGAGGTGCGCAGCTCAGGGCCCACGGCAGCGCCACCAAGGGTCAGCCCCAGGGCTCTGCACCCCAAGACGGGGGCAGGAGGCAACCAGCCCGGGAAGCAAGCTCTGCCCTGCAGGCAACTCAAAATGGGAGGCTCTGGGGGTCACTATACCAAGACCCCGCGAGAGCGGGCCTGCCTCAGATGAGGGGGGCTGGGGACCACCACCACCTCGCACCCTGACTGCTGCCCCTCTAAACCCACGAGAACCGCGCAAGGAGACGACCGAGTGACTAGGTGGTCGCTCCTGCTTGGGCTCAGCTTGGGCCCTGAACAAAGGCCAGGAGATGGTTTCTCTGGCGGACTCCAAGTCCCTCTCCACGCCGGGCTCTGCGGCCACGCCCCCAAGCCAAACTCAGATTTCCGTGTGGACACACCAGGCCTTTATTCAAATCCAACGTCCAGGTCCCGCTCCCGTCGAGGGAGAGTACTGGCACAGGGCTGGTCCTCCCGGCCACGTGAACCCAGCCCCTCAGCCTCCCCAGGGATGCACCTGCTGGAAAACAAGAAGCAGGGGGGGATAAGGAGGGATCCAGTGGGAAGCCCAACCTCCGGCTGGGGTCACAGTGGGGCAGCTCAGGAGAGGAGAACCCACTGGATGGGCCGGGCACAACCAGGGCCAAGGGGCCTCACTCGCCCACCCCAGAAGAGCACTTACAGGTACATGGTCGGAGGTAAGCAGCCGTGCCTCTGGCTCTTGCTTCCAGGTGACGGCCCTCCTGGGACATTGACCCCAGGTCATCGCTGCTCTCTGGCCACCCTTCCAAGTCATACTGGCTTCCTTTCAACCTGCCAAAGCAAAGAAGCGTTACGCCCAGTGTCCCCACTACGGCTCGCATTTGCCCCGTCTCCCTTCCCCCGAAACCATCCACAGCTCCTAGGAGGGTCTCAACCTAGTCATCGGGGGCATCCCGGAAGCGGCCCGGTCACAGGCTGGCGTGCCCAGGATGGGCCTGCGCCTTTCCGATGGGCCAGGCCACGTTCCACCCCTCAGCAGAGCCAGCTACCCAACGGGGACGGAGCTGCTTAGAGAAGAGCGTGGGCTCTGGGAAAAACTCGTGGCGGCAACAGACATCAGAGAAAGCTAGTTAGGAGCCTGAGTAAGGAGGTCTGGAAAAGACGGTCCATTGATGAACAAAAATTCCAAAAACCAGGGCGTTCGGTGGCCTCCAATCCTGCCTATGGATCGAACCTATTCCTGAGGCGTGACTGCCTGGCCGCAGGCGGGGAAGGGTCAATGGCCAAGGTCTGACTCTAGTGCTAGCTTGATTAAAAAAAAAAAAGGAAAAAAAAAAAAAAGGAAAAGGAAAAACCGTCAAAGGACCATTCCCCAGGTACATGACTTTACTTTCAAACGAGCTCTCGACAAGGAGGGATGCGGACACGAGCAAAAGGAGTTACCTCGAATTACAGGGCTACTTCCACATATGAGCTAGCCAAGGGAGCAGCTTGCGTCTCAGAGGGTTCTGTTGGGCGCACAACACTTCTGTCCTCCGAGGGGCTGCAGCTTCCATAGGCTAGCGGTGAAAGCTCAGAACTTGTAAAGCAACAGCAGGGCTAGCTAACGAGCCGGTCAGTCTGCGGTCGCCCAGGGACGCTGCCTGCTGCCCGCTCTCTGGCCTGCCTCTGGACTAAGGCGGTCTGGGTCGGCGTCACGTGCCCGAGTGTCCACCGGCCCTGCTAAACTGCTCTCCCCGTCACCCGCCTCCTTGCCTACACCGGGACCAAAGGCAGTCCGCGTCCCACGGGGCCCGGCAAGCATCTGTCCGTCTGGCCCTCCCTGTCTAGCGCTCCAGGGGCCTCGGGCAGGACTGGCAGACCTCCTCCTCAAACTGCTCCCCGCTCCGATCCAACTGCCTCGACCCGGAGCAGGGAGTGTGTTGTGCAATGAAAGGGAAATTGTCAGAGCAAGGTTCATTTCAGACGGTCTTTTAATCGGCTTCGTGAAGCCAAAGAAAACTGCGTACAAGAGTTCCTTAACCACTTCAAATACAACATCAATAAGATATGCATACGTCTTCCAGTAAAAAAGGACAATATAAATAAACATTTTCAAGAACCTCTCGAGGGACGTCTGCGATCTACTGGGTCATACATAGCACAGAAGGGCCGTTCACGCCAGGCCCAGGGCAGCCGGAGCGCCTCTGTGGCTGCCGCAGGACGGGTCCGACCATGCGACACTCAGAAACGTTACACAGAGTTGGAAAAAGCCACAGCGTGCTCAGCTTCCGACAAAAAGCGGATTCAGAGTCCGTTCAATCTTAAGAGAAGAGACCGGGGCGCCCAACGTCGGGGGCCTGACCCCGCTAAAAAGAGGAACAAAAACGGCAACACAACCCCCAGTGATTTCCTAAAAAACTTATGGCTCCTGGTAGAAACGACAAAGGAAAATCTGAAGTGCTTTTCAAAACGTTTTTAAAACCCTTAAAAACGAACAGCGCTTCCTTAAAAAGAAAGGTCTAGCAATGAGGCCATCTGGGGGTCAGAAGCAGTCAGGCTGTGTTTGACAAGATCAGAACCGAGAAGACTACAAAAGTGGGGTACAAGGAGGTGTGTTCACTACACATCAACGATTCAGCGAAGCTCCCAAAATCTTTAAATATACAGCCATTGGAAGGACGATCTTGAGCAGGAAGGATTTTTACTCGTTGTGTGTAGCTGAGAACAAGAAGCAGGTACAGTGTAAAAGCACTGAAGCGCGCGACAAGGTGCAGCATTCCACTCCCGGGTCGGACCTGGAGGGCTCAGCCCAGCGCCCAGCGCCTCGGGAGGCACCAACCCCCCCACGGCTGAGTGCAGGGCGGCAGGGCGGGGCGGCCGCACATGCACAGATGCTGCCCACTCGGGGTGGGGGGGCCCTCACTCTCCCTTTCCTCCTCAGTCAGTCTGGTTTTGCCTTTACGTTTCGCAGCAGAGACGGCGGCTGGCACGGAGACCCAGAGAGCAGCCTTGTCCCTTACGGGCAAGGACAGTGGCAGAGTCTGAGTGTCGCCTGCACAGGGCGCCAAGGCTTACTGAGCTCCCACCGCAGGCCCCGCAGCGTGGTGCCCTCGGAGCGGGACTTACCGTAACTGTCGTAGCTGTCTCTGTAGGACCCGCCGGAGCTCCGATCACCATAGCCGCCACCTTGACTCCGGCTGAAAAAAAGACACCTCAGGCCATGCACGCCACCCGCCTGCCCGCCCTGCGCCAGTGTCCAGAGGGCAGCCTCGCACACCCCCGGGGCAGGACCTCAGCCACCACCTGCTGTAGTAGTCTCTGGAGCCTCCATAGCCCCCGCTCCTGGACTCAAACCGGCTCCCCCCGTAGCCTCGGTCCCCTCCTCCTGCAGCCAGGGACAAGGAAGCGGTCAGCCCACCGCCTACCAGCACCGGCCCACCAGGCTCCTGGGGACAAGGCCCTGAGCAGGCAGCACTCACCTCTGGAGAACCCGCGGCCCCGGCCTCGGCCCCCTCGGAAGAAGCCCCGGCCCCCCGCGGAGCCACCTCGGTACCCACGGGACCGGTTGTCGGACGACTTGCCGGCCTGGTCTACCCGGATCTGCCTCCCGTCCACGGACTGGAAGCGGAGACGGCGCGGTCAGCCTCTACCCTCGCCGCCCACTCTGCACACCGCGACCCGCACCCCGGGGGACAGCCTCCCTCACCTTCCCGTTCATGGCCATCATGGCGTCCTTGGCGTCGTCGATGTTCTCGAAGGTGACAAAACCAAACCCTCGCGACCGCTGGGTCTCCCGGTCTTTCACGACCACCACTGTCCGGGAGAGACGCGGGGTCTGCATTCAGCCCTCCCCGGCGGCCCCGCCCGGCCCCCGGCGCCCGCCTCACCTTCGGAGATCTGCCCGTACTTGGAGAAGACCTGCTCCAGCGACTGCTCGTTGGTGTCGAAGCTGAGCCCGCCGACGAAAAGCTTGCCTTCGTCCGATGCCATGGCGGCCTGCGGCAAACGCGGTTGAGACCCCGGGGCCGCCGGGGGCGTCAGGGACCGCCAGCCCACTTCGCGCAAAGGCCCGTGGCGTGTGGGATGAACGCCGCGACCCTCCGCGCCCGCCTCCGGTGCACGCCGGGACCGCTGGGTTCACGGGGACCCCGCACCTGCTCTGCGCCCCCCGCCCCGGGCTGCGAGATCCCCGCGGGCCGGCGCTGCATCCCGGCCGCCCGGGCTGTCCAGGCCGAGGGCCCCAGGGACGGCTACGGTGGGACACCTCAGGGGGGCGTCGGCCTCCATCGTGAGCGGCTGCGCGCAGCCCGGGCTTCCCCTCCGTGAGCAGGACCATGAGGTGGGGAAGGGCAACGTGCTTGGTCCACTGCGGGGCCCCGTGAGGGCGGGAACCGGGGGGCTGGGCACTGGGCGCGGGGGCGGGGGCCTCCCACGTGGAGCCTGACGTGTGGGGCTGCGGCCCGCTTGGGCCGACTCTTTCCCGGCTGGGAGAAACCCCGCCGAGCACCGCCGAAAACACCGGCCAGAACGCGCGGCGGGCCGCGTCTCTCGGACCCTAGTTTGGGGAACTGGGAGGGCGACGGGCCTACGCGGCCCCCGCGCGACTCCAACGGGAAACCGGGAGCGGCGGCCCGGGCCACGCAGCGTGGCCCCGCCCACCGCCGCGCGCATGCGCCCCGCGCACGCCCTGCGCCACTCCATCCGGGGACCCGGCACTCCCGCCATTTCGCTGGGTGCAGCCTCGCGCTCGCGGCCGCCATTTTGCGGTGGCGTCCCGCTCGCGGAGAGCCGGGCCCGAGGGAAGGACGCTCTCCGGCCACAGTTTGGCCCGGTGTCCCGCTGCCCATCGCCGCCGGCGGGGCGGACTCCACCCCGGGCCCGCCCCGGCGCCGCCCCCGCCCAGGGGCGTGCCGCCGCCGTCCCGCCTCCTCCGGCCGGCCGCAAGCCGCTTGCCGCCCCGGGCCCGCGGAGTCGGTGCCGCCAGGGCCCTCACCACTGAGTCGGGAAGGTCCCTGACGCAGGCGGGAACAGGGCGCAGCACAACGAGCCAAGCCTCCTAACGCGCGACTGAGGGGGGGGCGCCGAGCGCCCGGCCTTAAGTACGCCGCCGCGGGTCCCCGCCCCCCCCTGCCCCGCGCCAGCCAATCCGAGGGCTCATCAGCTGCAGCAACATCTCATATTCATGAGGCAGGGGCTGGGCTTGTCCCGGCTCCTCCCCACTCCCGTGCGCGCGGGTTCCGGGCGCGATAATTGGCGAGGACGCGCCTCGCCCGCAGTCCCCCGCCCGCGACCCGGAGGCGGGCCCGGCGCGCGGCGGGGCGGAGCTGACCCACAACCGCATGCCCGCCCCCACCCCACCTCCCGGTCTGTGGTCGGGAACAAAGGGGTCTCTGGAGGCCAAGGCCCCAAACCTCCCGGGCATCTCTTGGTGTGGCTCGAACTCAGACTTGCGCTCTGCCTCGGCAGTCGCCGCCAATGCAGCCTTGGCCAAGTCCCTATCCCCACCGGAGCCCCAACTGTCAGTCCACCTGAACCCTGACATCATTCTGATATCCACGCCAAATAACCGGATACTCTGGTACTCCCGGGACCCCACTACTTCATGGAATGGGCCCCTACGCCACCCCAAACCCCAAGACTGAGACAACCCCACGTGTGTGGATCCCAATACTCACCAAGCTCCCATTTCCTCCTACTTCGCAATTTTGGGGCGCCCCAATCGCAGGCAACCTGCTTTGCCTACAAATCTCCACCAGCACCCACACCTCCTTCCACCCCAATCCTGACATCTGCTTGGTGCTGTGCCCACACCCCCACACTCACCTAGACAGACGCCTCTGTGCATTGCAGCTCCGGAGGGCTGGCTGACCCCCTCCTGGGCACCCAGCCCATCACTGGGGCCAGCCCTGCACCCAACATTGGTCTCAACCCTTGGGCTCCCCTCCAGCATGCGTTCCGGCTTCCTGCCCGCACATGAACAGACTCATCATCGGTGGTGGGGTGAGCAATGCTCTCTTCCTCTCCTGTCTGGGGGTTCCGAGACCTCTGCTATCAGAAGAACAAGCTTTGCAGGAACCCTCACCTGCAAGATTGCTCTCGGAGAGTCCCAAGGCCACTTTATGGGAGCCCCTGTGTGGCCACCATTTGCCCCCGTGCAGGCTTTGGCTTGTGTTGTCTCTGGTGACCCTGGACGCCTCCACGGGATGGAAAAAACTAGTGCAGAACCCTGCCTGCCCACGCCCTGCTCTGGACAGTCTTCAGAGGGTAGACGCCATGCAGAGGAGTTGGAGTACTTGGGAACAGAGGACCCCCCCCCCGCTTTGTTGCCCACCACAGAGAAGTTCCAGCCCCGCTCCAGGCCCCCTCAGACTTGCTGACACCCTCAGGCGGGCCTAGCTGACCAAGTAAGGCACACAGGCAAGGACATGGTCTCCCGTAACAAGATCACTGGGACCCCTCCCCCATTTAGGAGCCCCCTCCTGCAGAGAAACTCCTGACTCATTGCCACCCCCCCCCCCACACACACGTCGCTGCCTGGTGCCACAGCCCTCCCCGTCAGAGGCAGCCCGCTGCTGCGTCAGCCTCTCACGCAGGGTGGTTATTAAAAGGAGCAAAAAGAGACGCCAGCTCTCAGCTCCCTCCGCCTCCCAGCCGGCGTGGAGGGGGGGGGCTGGTGGGCTGGGGCCAGGTCAGCCCAGCTCGGGAACACTTGCCTGCCACCCTTTTTGGTGGGCTCCCCTAGCAAAGTCAGGTCAGGGGCTCCTGGCTCCAGCCCAGACCTGGTGTCCCCGCAGCCTTGGTGGCCCAGAATCATTCCCTGGCCTAGGCCCCGCCCCCAAGGCTCCGCGGTTCTGAGTCTGCCTTCCCCTGGTTTTGTGAAGCGCTCTGTTCATTCATTCCTTCCTTCCACCAGCACGCGGTTATTAAACATTTACTACAAGCCTGTTGCTGCATCTCCATGTATACCCATGACTGTCCTGGGTTCCCATCTCAGAAAGGACCCATGCCTGGGGACACCTGTGGCCAACTCTGCCCGCTCTGGGCATTGTGCGGGGACTGCGTGCTGGCGTCTCAGGTGTGCGGCCTGTCTCCGTCCCCGCCTGCATCCCTGTGGTTTCCTGCATCTGCTTTTCCGTGGGTGGGGGGCGGCTCTCACACCTTCCTCGCTGTAGCGACCGCTGCGCCACGCTCTCCCCACGGACACGAGGCGGCGCTGCGGCCTCGCTGTCACCCCAGCCAGGGGCTCCGGGTCCCGCCGCGTGCTCCAGCGTGGGACGAGGTCTTCGTTCCGCCCAAAGGCCTGACCCCGCGCCTCTGCCAGCACGCTGGGAGGATGGGTCTCAAAATAGCCGCGGGCAGGGGAGAGGCTGCTATTCGCGGCCTGGACGCGCGGTGCTCGCCGCCTGCCCGACGGGACGGGGATTAGGCCGGGAGGTCCCCGTCGGCGCGTCTACAAATCGCCCCTCTGCGGAGGGGGCGCCCGCCTCGGGGACCACTTCTCCCACCGCGGTCCAGCCGCTCCCCGCCTGGACTCCCCACCCGCGGACGTCGCCATGGAGACGAGGGCGGGTCTATCTCGTTCCCGCGGCGCCCCCTCCGCCTTCCTGCCCGGCCGGGCCTCGGGACGCCGGGTCCTCCCCCGACCCTGGCTAATGACCGGGCGGGAGGCGGTAATGAGCGTCTGGGTCCCGGACGGGCGTTGGCCGGGATGAAAGGCGCGTGGGGGGTGGGGGGAGGACGACCCTCGGGCCGCGTAATTATCGCCCCCTCCCGGTCGACCAGGCGGGGGCCGGGACAGTGCACCTGGCGGCCTCCCGGCGGGGGCGCACAAATGGGACCGTCCTGGCAGAGACTCGCTGGCCCGCCTGGCCCAAACCCGCAGGGCCCAGAGCCAGGGTGGGGGAAGTGGAGACTGGATGAGTGCGCGCGTTGCCAGGTGTGGTGCACATGTGTGCCGGTGAGCTGGGAGTCGTGGGTAAACAGACAGGATGGCAGGGCACCGTGCCTGCGTGGATGCAAAAGTGGGGCTGTGTGTGCCCAGGTATGGAAGTGTGTGGACAGTGCTCCGTGCGCAAGACACGACGGGGGCGTACATGGACTCCAGAGCGTGTGCATAAGGGACACGGATGTGGGACCAGTCACGGACAGGCCTGCGTGTGTGTGACTCCCGGGCAGGCCTCACAGAGAGGTGGGCACCCCCGTGGTTGGAGGCGTGACTCTTGCCCCTGGGGTGGGCCGTTGTGCTTTGTGTCAGCAGTGGCCAGGGTCTTGCAGGGCAGAGGACGGCTGCAGGAGGCCAGAAGCCCGGCAGAGTCAAACTGTCCCCCCCCCCTCCACCCGGCTCTGGCTCCTACCTGCAGGAGGTGTGGACCCTCCCCTGTCTCTGAGGCCCCAGGTGGCTGCTGACCGTGAACACAGGAAGCTCAGCTCTTTGCCACCCTGAAGCGCTAGAAGGGGCTGCCCCTGGCGTCAGTTTCCCTCCTGTTCCTAGGAAGGGGTCTCCGCAGTGGAGAATGTGCAGGACAGGGGATGGGCAGAGGCACCCAGTGGAGCCCCCTGTGAGTGAAGGCCCAGGAACACGAGGCTGGCACCATCCTGCTCCCACCCTGGCTCCCACCCGAGTTGCAAGGGCCGGGCACTGGATGGTTTGTGGCCATGAGCACAGACTGTGGGGTGGGGCCTAGAGGGGCCACAGAGACACGCCGGCCCACCAGTGTGAGGGCAAGGCCTCTGGATGTCACACTCCCGGCCCTCGGGTTTGCACGTTTGCTCTTTTTTGTACTCCAGATGCCCCAGAGGCCCAGACGGTGACCCTGTCCTTTCTGCAGAGGATCCCGGAGGCACGTGTGTGGTGGACAAACACACAAGTACATCAAACATGTGCCAGATGTCTGAGAAACGCCAGACCTTGAGCACAAAGACCCCCTCTGTGTGCTCACGAAAACCCTGAGGCTTGCCTTGGTGGGGGCCAGGGCCACAGCCCGCTGGATTTTGAGGCTGGGGAGGGGCTGAGGTTCACACCTCCCGACCCCTGGCGGGTAGGAGGAGCTGTCCCCCACAAGTGTCCTATCCACTCACTTGACCTTAGCCCCACACTCAAGATGGCACCCACACACAGCCTCCCTATGGGTACAAGGAGGGGCAGAAGGACCCCTTCCCGGGGCTTGTGGCTCCACGGCAACACTGGAGTGGCCGGAGGGAGACATAGTGGCCCCCTCCTGTGGCAGTCGCCAGGGGCTCAGGGAAGACAGTTGTGTCCGTGTGGCCTGGGCTGCCCCAAGCATCCGCCGCACAAGTGCTGGTGTCCCACAGCTGTCTTGCTTTTCCTTGAAGGTCAGTGAGGGCCGGGTGCCCTGCTGGGCAGGCTGGTGTGGCCAGGCCCCTCTCAGGGCCTCAGTTGCCCATCTGAGACGTGGGTGCAGCAGCAGGGATTCCTGGGGTCAGTGAGGCTGAATGGGGACAAGAGCCCCCCAGGAGGCACTTGGGGTTCTCTGCCCTTTCTTCTGTCGCAGGCACACGGGAAATGGTCTGATGCTCATGCCCCTTCTTCCAGGTCCCACCAGGGATGGAGTGAGTGAGGGCACACACCCCACCTGTCCCCAACCCAGATAAGCAGCTCTCTGCTTCTCTGGCAGGCCTATAGCCACGGAGGGTATGGTGGGCCGGAGTGTGTGGCTGGAGCAATGGGCCGTGTTCTGGGAGGGTGCTGTTGTGGGTGACAAGTCTCTGAGGCTCTGAGTGCCTGCCCTGCCGGGTGTGACTTTCAATTCTGCGGTTTTCTTAAGGGAGGTCTTGGTCCAGGGTGAGAAGGGGGGGGGCATTGTTTTGAAAATCATAGCGTCGAGGGACTTTGTGGTGGCATCAAAGTGTGAGTGGGGCAGTGTGTGTGTGGGGGCGGGCCTGTGTACTGCAGAGCCAGGAGCCTGGCACTCAGGTGGGAATCCGTATCGGGCCCCTAACTGTTGGAGGGTGCACTTCTTCAGAGCGTGGGCGAGAGGGGCGGGTTGGGGGGGTGGCGTGTGTGGGAGGTGGGCCGTGCGCAGTGTCTGGGGGGGGAGGCGCAGGCGGTCTGCTCGCAGCCAGCTGTCTAGAGCCCTGACCGCCCCCCCCGCCCTGCCTGCGGGCAGCCCCGCCCACATTCCGGAGGAGGGGGTGCCCCCTACAGCCCCTGCCGGCACCCCAACCTCTGACCCATCCCTAGCCCACTCCCTCCAGCAGCAGCTGGCTCCAGGGAAGGGCAGCCGGGCGGGGGTGGAGGCTGGAATGTGTGCCGGGGGTGATGGAGGGCTCCCCGCTCCGGAGAGGGGGCGGAAGTGGGGGAGGAGCCGGTGGGACAGGGACCCAGATACCAACAGAGACAGACGGAGACCCTGAGGAAGGCCAACAGAGGAGAGGACAACCCGCCGCCTGCAGGAGAGGCAGCAAAGGAAGTAGATAGGGGGCAGAACTAGAGGGGAGAAGGAGAGGTGGCGAGCCAGGGACAGGGACCCGGAGGGAGGGCCGTCACAGGGGCAAGGCCCCAGGTGACAGCAGCCCCGCCCCCACACCGGGTCACACCAGAAGCTGCCTGTCCCCTGCCCTCCCAGGGCTGGGCAGCCGTGGGTGGGGCTGGAGTCAAGACTCCTGGGTTGGGCCCCAGCACCCTTGGCTGTGGCTTGGTAACTCCCATTCCCCAGGCGCCTAGAGAGGCAGGCAGGTCCCACTGGGCCTGGTGGGGGCGGCTGTGCCCAGGGCACCCGCCTGGTGCTGGGGCTGCGGGAGCTGGCCCCAACGGGATACCGCTCACTCCTGTCTCCCCACATGGCTCCTTGCCAGAGGCCGGCTCCTCCCCAAGTCAGGCCCTGACCCCAGCCTTTGGCATTTCAAAACCGTGGAGCCAACCCCAATTATCCATTTGCCCCCCCCCCCCCCCGCCCCCCGGCCCGGCCCCCGGGGCACCCCCCCCCACCCCCCCCCCCCCCCCCCCCCCCCCCCGGGGACTCTGGCCTGGAGCAGAAAGCAGTGACCCCAGTGACCTTCTCCTGCTTGCCCACGGCGGTCGCATCAACCAGGAGCAGTGTCCCCCGGGACCCAAGCCTCCAGTCCAGACTCCACAGCTTGGCAGCCACACCAGTGCACACGGCCCGCCCGACCCGCGACTGAGTCTTGCGCCTGCCCAGCGGGGGGCTACCCTTGGACCCGAAGTTCCCCACCAGGCGGGGCCTGCTCCTGCTCCCACCGACCGCTACCTTCTCCGAGGGGACTCCTGATCACAGCAAAACTTGCTCCCGCTAGCCTCCCGCGGCCCCTTGCCGACCACCTCTGCCGCCTTCGGACAGCGCTTCACCCGGCGCTCCTCCGGCCCGGGCCCGGCCGTCCGGCCACTTGGATGTTCTGGGCCCTCCTCCCCGGGGGCCCGTCTCAATCCCCAGCCACAGATTTGGGGAATCACCCCCTTCGGGTCCTCGCCTCGGCGTTTTCCTCCCGCCGTTTGTTTCCTCTCCCCCAGCTCACTTCGCAGCTGTTACCAGTACACCTGCCTGCGCGTCTCCGGGTCGTGGCACACGATGTCTCCCACCTAGGGGCACCCCTTCCCTCTTCCAACGCTTGGCAAACTCCTATTCCTTTGGCAAAGCCTCAGGCCGGGGGCACTCCCCCCCGCCCGGGGGCCGCGTGCTCTCCCCCCCGCCCGGGGGCCGCGTGCTCCCCCAATCCGGAGGTCGCGCCGCCGAGCCGAGGAGGGGGCAGCACACAATGCCGGGACGTGGAAGGAGGGGTGCGAGCGAGCGCGCTGGTGCTGGGGTCCACGTGCGGCGCCCTCCGCTACGCCCCCTCTTCCGTCCCGGCGCTGCGGAGCCGTCAGACCCTCGGCGCGCCTCCCGCCCCCAAGTTTGCAGACGCGCGACCACAGGGAGGGCCCCCCCAACCGCCTCCGCGCCGCGCTTGCGCACTCGGCTGGCTCGGGCGCGGTCCCACCCTCCGGCGCGGACGCCACGCTGCCATTGGTGCGCGCGGAAGAACGAACGGCGGGGCCACCAGTGAGGCGTCCCCGGGGATGAGTGGGCCGGACCCGAGCCCCCCTCCCCGACGAGCGGACGGGGGCGACCGGGGCGCCCTCCCCGCGGTGACGTCAGGCCCGATTCGCGGCGCGTTGCCGTGGAAACCGCGATTCCATTCCTGCGGGTTTCCGGGGGCCACCCCCTCCCATTCAGCTTTTTCCTCAATGGGAGGAGGGGGCGGCGCAGGGCAGACACCGCCCCCTGCGATCTCCGCAGCCCCAGCCGTCGCTGGGCCTCAGTTTACCTTACTTTCGAGTGGCCTAGCCTGCAGCCCCTCCGGCCGCAGCTCCCTTTGGCCCGGCACCTCCCCGCGGCGAGTTGTGTGCGCTGCGCGCCCTTCCAGGGGGAAGGAGGCCAAGGGCCCGCTACCCCCACCGGGGTGTAGTTCCCTTACGACCCCAGGGCAGGGCCGCGAACGTTGGACTCCCGAGCTGGGCTCCAGGTAGCGCCCTGAGGGATGGGTTCCTGGGCAGCAGGGCAAGGCCCCCCGCCCTGCCGCGCGCACACATAGCCTGTGATGCAGCAGCCGGTGATTCAGCGGGCGCCTCAGCTGACACCTCCTTCCACACCCCCAACCCAGCCCTGCGGAGTCACCTGGGTACAGCCCTCAGCCCTGACCCTCAGGGCTGCGTGGGCGGAAGTTTCCACCTGAGGTGTCCCACCCACATCTCCAACCTGTGGCCGTTGACTAAGGTCTGGAGGGATCACCCTGACATGTGGCACCCAACCTTCCTGCTGTGGGCTTGGGATGATTTGGAGGTGACTGGACAGGGAGACGGGCAGAAGGGCCTTCTGGAGATGTTCCCAGGACACTCCTGGGACAGCACCTGTGTCCCTTACCCCTGGGGTCCCTGGAGCTGGGAGGGCAAGGACTTGGGCCACCCAAAATCTGCCCAGGAGTGAGTGGTCACCAGTTTGACAAACATCCCAATCTTCTAGGGCGACTGATTGTTTCTCCCTGGGCTCGGAGTTTTCTCGCCTATTAGATGGGACTGTAATTAGTTGTAACTTCTAGTTGGCAGGGTTTGGGAACTGAGGAAGTACAGGTGAGGATGCTGGTACTGTCCTCTCTCTGCCCAGCCCCAAAGTGGATGACAGGGGGACCCCAGTGGACTTGCCCCTGGCCCAGCCTTTGGGAAATGCCAGTTGAGGAAGTCCCCAGGCAGAGCAAGGACGCCCAGGAGAGGGGTGTTCCTGCGTAGGGCATGGCCCGGACAAAGGCCTGAGGCATGACCATCAGGGATGGGGAGCGCTGGAATGCAAGGCCAGGGTGAGGCCAGAGGGGTGAGAGTTCACCCAGGGCTGTGACGGCCAGGCCAGTGGCCTCGAACACAAGCCTCGGGCCCTGGGGAACCTCTGATTTCCACTAGACAGCTCCAGGAGGCCCGGTACCCAGGAGAGGGCTCAGGTCAGCGCTCCAGCCAGGCAGCACCTCCTGCCTGGCCCAGCATTTGAAGCAGGCTCCCCGTCAGTGGCTGGGGACATCGAGGCCCAACGAGCGTGGTCAGGTAGCCCTGGTGAGAGTCCCAGGGGTCAGTCCCCAGCCCACTTCCCAGAGCCGGGAACGGAGGCCCCACCCATGGCGTGCTGTTAGCAGGCAGCCCCGTGCCCACACCCTGCAGGACTTCCGGCCTTGAGTACCGGGAAGTGGCTGGCCCCTCCCTCTCCTGCTGGGGCAACTTCCTGCCCGCCCTTACCTCAAGCCGGGGAGGGAACGTGGGAACCGTTCTGGGATCAGGCCCCACCCACTCCCCAGCTGCCACTACCTGTCGGTCTCGCCGGGGGCCCCCTCTTCAGGGGAAACAGCCGCCAGCCGTGCCACTCCCAGGCTTTAAGACCACCCGTCGTACCTGGGAGCGCCCTCTGTGATGGCCAAGACCCCTCCCCCCCGCCAAGTGGGCAGCACATTCACTCGTTTCATCTTGTTTATTACTTGAAATCACGGTGTTTGTATAGGTTTAATCTTTCCCAATTTTGTTTTCATACAGGAAACTCAGGCAAGGTGCCGGGACACCCCACAGCCCGACCCCTGAGGGTGGGTAATGCTTTCTTGGGGGAGCCCTGGTGAGGGCAGAGAGGGACGGGCTGCCTGGGTTCCTGCCTGGGGCCTCCACCCTCAGACCCGTGGAGGCACAGGTGTTATTTAAAAATTGTTTAAAAAAACAAAACAAACAAAAAAAAACCCCGACAAAACAGAACACATTTAAATAGGTATCCAACACAGTTCTTCAAAAACAAACCCACTCCTTTTTTCTCCTTTTTCTTTTTTTTTTTGGAAAATGAAAACAAACAAAAATCAGTGACCCCTACCCTCTGACCCCTCCCTACCCCCCCCCCCACAAAAAAGTTTACAGAGCTACAATTAACACATGATGTTCACATCTGAAACCATTAACTTTAAACACATAATGGGGGGGGGGTTCACCTACAATAGGATGAAAGGAGGGAACAGGCAGGGGGTGGGGGTGTCTGGAGGACAGAAAGGCAGGGCAAGGACCAGACTTGGGCAGGGGGCAGGGCCTGATCATCTCCATTATCAGTAAAAAATAAGTGAATGAAAAAAAACTCCACCCCCATTGAAATGGCCCCAGTAGAGGGCTTGTCCCTCTGCCCCAGGGGAATCTGGGGATAAGGGCACAAGTGGGGAGGGTCCAATTTAGACCAGCAGCGAAGCCCCCCCCCAGGGGGTTAATGCTACACAGCGTCACCCCTACTGGGGCTTCACAGCTCAGCACCCCCTCCTCTCCTGACTGCCAGGGGGCCCTCCAGACACAGCCCACAGGCCACATCTCTCTCGGGTTGGGCCAGGAAGGAGGGCTGGGGGTGATTCCTCCGTCCCCCAACCATTTCTCTCCCAGTTTTCAAGAGACTCCCAACCACTATTGGCTCAGAAAATTAATAGTCTATAAATACCCCAAGCTCAGAGCAAAAAGGGGGTGGGGCCAGGGGAGATGGCACAGTGCGTGGACGCAAAGGCTGGTGGCTGGTCTGTCCCCCTCCCTCCCTTTCCTATTAGGAGAGGGCCCCACACTTCCACCTGAACCCCAGAGGCAGGCTGGGGCCAGCCTACTGAAGCGCCCCTCCTCTTTTTTTCCTGGAAAAATAGACCAAGAGAAAAAAGCATAGGTGTGGAGGAGACCTGGCCGCAGGGGCAGCGCAGCGGGTCTCCAGTGGCTGTGGGGCCTGCCGGCCACCCTGAAGGCCAGGGTGCAGCTGCAGTGGGCCTTCCCTCCTTGGCCCTGCCCGTCTGTAAAGTGCATCATGAGGCATCTACGTTTTTGACTTAAACCTGAAGGGGTGGGGGCGGCTTCCTCGTCTCGTCCCACTCTCGGCCATCTGGAGTGACTGCTACATCTCTGGAGCTTGGGAAGTGGGCGGGGAGGGCCCGGCTTGGCCGAGGACGGGAGCCACCACGGGAGGAAGAGGTGGGGAAGTGTGAGCTGAACCAAGGAGGCAGGAACCAAGTCCACGGAGAGTTCATTAAACCATGGTAAGAATGGAAATTAAAACAAACAAAAAAAAAACCCCCCCAAAACCCCAAAAACTGAAGAAAAAAAAAAACAAAAAACAAAAAACAAAAAACAAAAACAAAAACAACAACAAAAAAAAAACCCAAAAACCAGAAGGAAGCTGGTAGGAAGGGAGGGGCCTCCCACTGCCCTGACCCCAACTGCCTGCCCTCCCGCGCGCAGGCTGGCCCAGGGGACTCTCCGCTCAAGGTGGCCGGGCGAGGGACGTGGTTCCTAGGCCACCACGAACTCTGACTTAATGTCAGGGTTGACTTCCGGCTTCCAAACGGAGTCCTCGAAGTCGAGGCCCAAGCCGGAGGCCTCACTGGGCCCGCTGCCCCCACCGCCACCGCTGGTGTCGCTGCGGCCGGCCTTGCGGCTTGGCGGCCAGTGGTAGGGCCCGCGGGCATCCCGCCGGGCCTTCCTGCGGAGCCGTTTCTGCTGGAGCAGGAGCTGGAGGCGCTCCACCTTGCAGCGGGTGGCCCGATTTTCTGTCTGCCGCAGCCGGTCCCCTGAAAGGAGGCAGTGACCATGAGCCCTGTGGCCCTTGGGGGGAGAGGCCAGACAACCCCCAATCCCCACGGCATGAGGCACCACCCAGCATTCCCGGTCGCCAGGAGGTGTCTCAGACTGGAGGCTTCTCAGGCCCCGTCCACCGCAAGACCCGGCCAAGGCGGGTGCTGGAGCACACCGCCAGCCCCACTGGTCAGGTGGGACGTTGGCCCTCAGGCTGGTGGCTTTGTTTCCCCTTCATGACCTGGGCCGGAGGCCCGCCAAGGCAGAACAGTGACACTGTTCCACAGGGCTCAGGATTTCCTGGGGCCGGCTGGGTCTCTGGGGGACTCAAGCCACCCCTGGAGCAGCAATGCCCCCTCCTTCATCAGACCAGGCCATTCACAGAGGCCCCACCTGCCATCTGGACAAAGTGCAGGGGGGTGGGGGGAGGGAAGGAAGCGCCCCCCTCGGGAGAGGACAAGGACACTTTGTGCCCCAAACACACATGCTCCGTTCTCTCCGCTCTCCTGCGGAGCAAGGCAAGCAGCAGCTGCCGCCCCCCCTCCCAGCCCCCCGGCGGGTCAGCTGCTCTGAGCCACGCACAGAGGGGCCTTGAACAGCCCAGGGACGGGCGGGGTGCGCTGGACACTCACCCAGGGGCTTGCACATGCGGGCCTGGCTCAGGGAGGCCGGGGCTGCAGCCGCCAGCTTCTCGCAGGAGGTAGTTTTGGGGGTGAGGTCCGGGGCAGGTGAGGCGGGCGCGCACTGCGCGTGGCAGCGCAGCTGGGTCAGGGACGGGGGCATGCCCTGGTAGTGCCGCGTGGCACTCAGAAGGTCGTTGAGGATCTGCAGGATGGTGCCGATGTCACGCCGCGGCCGCCCGCTGCTGTCCTGGCAGTTGGGGTGCAGTGTGCCTGCAGGAAGTGGGGGGCTGCTGGTGAGTGCGGGCGGGATGGACACGTGGCCTCTGAAGCGCATGCGCAGACAGGTGGGCCCCCAGGGTGGGAGCAAGCACGCGGGGACCTGCGCCTCCTGGGGGCCCACAGCCTCCTGTATGGTGGGGCACGGGCCAGGAGACCCCGGGGGGCGACGGGTGAGATCTTACCCCCACCCAGGCGCTGCCTCTGGGTGGCAGGGATCTGTGCAGGGGTACTGCGACACCTACCAGAGAATGTCCCTGAGAAGACCCCCGGGGCATGGTTCACGAAGCTCTCGATGACAGCGCCAGGCTTGCGGGAGCGGGAGGTAGGGCTCCCCCCGGGGGTGGAAGTGGGGCTAGCGCCAGCACTGGCAGGGGGCGAACAGTCCATCTGCAGGATGCCGGGGAGAAGAAGGCAGGTCAGCTGCGGTGGGGGGGGGGGGGTGGGGGGGGGAGCAAGGACAGTCCCTGGAGGCTGTAGACCTGGGGCTCTGAGCCCCCAACCCTCCGTGAGGCGGGGGACAGCCCACCTTTCCCAGACTCACCTCAGGGCAGGCGGCGGAAGCGGAATGGGATCGGAAGGAGCCGGCGGTGACAGGCGAGGGGGACGTGGGGGCAGGGCTGCTGGCCATCGGGGGGACTCGGGCAGCACCGGCCATGGGCCGGCAGGGGGACACGGGGGCGGCCATGCTGGGGTCCCCACGGGCAGCGGCGGCGGCAGCGGCGGCGGCAGCCAGCACGTGGCGGTGCTGGAGCGGGGCGTGCTGGGCGGCCAGCTGCAGCTGCACGAACATCATGTGGTCCCCCACGCGCAGCGCCAGGGTCAGCGGCGAGCGGCCCGACAGGAAGTCACTGACCTGTAGAGAGGGGCCCGTCAGCGCCAGGGCCCCAGCCTACTGCGCCCCCAGCCCGGCCCAGCCCCGGCACCCCACGCTGCGTGACCTGGGGCCTCTCGCCGCCCCTCTCTGGGCTCTGGGGTCCCTGTCGGTGCCACGGACGCTTAAATAAAATGAATCGGTATTTCCGGAAGACGCCTCCGCCAGCCCGGCCCGGCCCGGGCGCCACTGGGGGCTGTGGGGGACAGAGGCGGGTCAGATGGGGGGGCCTGGCCCTCCCTGGCCAGCTTGGTTCTTTCAAGGGGAAACTGAGGCCAGAGGGGGCAAGACCCAGTCAGCAGTCGCTGCCCTCAAATACCCCCACCCTCCCAGCTCCCCATCCTCTGCCTGTGAACACCAGAGGGGAGTCAATCGCAGACCCCCTCCCAGTTAAGCCACCCAGGCAGCGAGTGGGCGGGAATTCCTGGACAAATTCTTCTTCCTAACCTTTGCTTTCTCAAGATAAATATTTATCTGTCCTGGGTGGGGCTGAGGCTGAGGGGGAGGCTTCGCTGCTGGAGGGGGCCCTGATGGTTCTGAGGCCTGGGTCCCACGAGACCTCTATGCAGCCCCAACACAAACCCTCAGATCTGGTGGGTGGCGGTGGCAGGGGGTGCATCCGACACCCAGTGCAGACTGGGTCCCTCCTCTGGAGCCTGGCCAGTGCTGAGCTTGCCCCCCCGGGGGGGGGGGTGGGGGGGGGGGGGGTGGAGGTTTCTGAGAAGTGACACAGGCCGGGATGACTCAGAACCACCGCCTCCCAGCCCTCCGCTGGCAGCGGCTGGCGTAACCTTCTCTGCTTGGGGGCCGCAGGGAGGCGGCGAGGAAGGCGGGCAGTGTGCAGCTCCCCCAAACCCTGAAGCCTGGTCTGCAGGGTACCCTCCCCGGGTCCAGAAGCTCCCCTTGCAGGAAAGGCTTGGGGTGGCTCCCCAAGAGCAGCTGGGGAGTCCCCCCCCACCCCTCCGCCCTGCAACTTCCTCCCTGGGGAGGGCGAACAGGCGGGCATGACTCGGTGCCAGGCGGGGCAACAGCCCTGGGAGCCAGTCACTCCGCCCAGCGCCCCCCCCCCCCCGCCTCCTGACGCAGGCACTGTGGGGCGGATGTGAACCAAAGACACCCCTGGCCCCCCTGCCAACCGCAGGCCCCCCTGAGAGCCGATAGCTCAGTTCCCATCTTCACCGGGAAATCCAGTGCGGCCCCCACCCAGCTTCTGGGACCCCAGCTCTGCCTGTAGCCCACCGGCCCTCCTGATGGCAGACCACCCAGCACCAGCGCCCCTCTTCCTCCTCACTACCTAGCTGGTGAGGACAGGATGCTACATGTCGGGGAGGGGGCGAGGGCCTCCAGGCAGGAGGAAGGGAAGCCGCTGAGCAGGTTTCCTGCGGCCAGCCCAGCCCACCCCCTAGCCGGGGCGGGCAGCAGCCTGCTTCCCCACCCTGGCAGCAGGCGGATAGCTGAAGCCTGTGTCACCCTCCTGGGAGGAGGGCCCTGCCGCCAGAAAAATGAGGAAAGGAAGAGGTAAAAAAAAAAAAAAAGATAAATAAATAAATGCTGCAACAAAACCGGGAACCCGGCCGTGGGCCAGTCCCTGCCTTCCTCCTCAGCTCCTGGCCAGTTGCTAAATATTTTCCTAACATCCTGTCTAGGCTAAGGCCCTGGGGTGAGAGCCCCCCTCCCCCTTTTGGGGCAGAGAACAAAGGCCAAAGGGAGAAGGGGAGGGAGTCACCCCTTACAATGGGGTCAAAGAAGCCGGAAGGAGTGTCACCCAAGCTGGCCCCTCCAGTCCTCCTCCCACCCACCCACAGAAATGTTTAAAAAAAAAAAAAGATCGCCCTGGGGAAACCGCAGTGGCTGTGGAGGGAGTACTCCTCAGTATAGGGCTGGGGCCCCAGGCCCAAGGTCACCCCGGCAGGCAGGCTTGTGAAAGCCCAGCCCCCTCCTCCATGGCAGCCACCGTGGGAGAGAAGGCCCTCAAGGTCAGGTGGTGAGTGCGGAGAGGGAGGAGGAAGAGGAAGCTGGGTGACCAGCCCAAACTGGCAGGAAGACTGGGCGGTGCGTCCCCTCCCTCCCCACGGGTCTCCTGGGAGCACAACCACCCCCCCACTCCCAGGCCCTCCCTCTGGTCTCAGAGGGACCGGCGCGGGTCTTACCTGTGTCTCGGTCAGGCTCTCCAGGGCCTGCATCACAGACTGCTCTGGCCTCGAGGCCTGGGACTGAAACAGAGAAGGCGCTCTGAGCGGGCGCTCGGCTGCAAGAGGGCCCGGGCACCAGGGCGGGGGAGCTGCTTGCCGGCGGGGCCGCCCTGGCAGGGTGTGTGCTGGGAACCAAGCTCTCAGGGGAAGGGGCTGCCCGCCTGCGCCAGAGCCTCTGGGGCACTGTGCCCCAGCCATTTACCATGAGGCCCGCCTCCACGGTGGGCACCAGCGTCAGCTTGCTGCCATCCCCCACGCCGAACTCCTGCAGCTTCCCCGAACTGAGCCGGCTAGGGGGAGGAAGGAAGGGAGAGGGTGAGGCCAAGGAGACACGGCGGTGAGGCGGAAGCACAGGCCAGGGGGGAGGGCTGTGTTCCTGGGGGAGATATGGGAGCTCTACCCACCCCTATCCCTTCCCAGCTCCCCAACCAGAGGGGGGATATGTGTGTGTATGTAGGGGGAGTGTCAAGTATCTGGCCCCGAAGGCCCCCATGCAAGTGGCTCAAACCTCCTCGGGGAAGAAGCCCCACTCTGGGCTGGGGCACCACCTCAGCACCTCAACAAAGCACTTTTTTGTCGACAGGCGCAGTGCACCCTTGCGGTCCTCTGCCACCCTCCCCTCACCCCACGGCCGGCCCCTGCCTGTAACTCCGGCCCGGAGCTTCTCTCTGTGGGAGCCACAGACCTTAGCCTTTAGGGTCTTTTGCAGTGCCGGGCTACCCCTCCTCCCTCCCTCCCCGGCGCCCGGCGCAGGCCGCGGCGGCTCAGACAAAGGAGACCCTCCCCCACCCGCCCCTCCCCCACTGGGGCCCCTCCGCTGGGGATGGACACTGTGTGTCCCTGGAGGCCCGCGGGGGGGAGTGCTCCCCGGCCTGGAGGCGATTTAAATACCAGGGGGGAGGGGGAGACTGCGGGAGTGCTCGGTGGTTAGAACAAAGGGGGGTAGAAAAACGCAAGTAGGGGAAGAAAACAGCCAGACGTAGGGGGGGGGCACCGAGCAGATGCGGAAGCCAGCGGGAAAGCAGGCAGAGAAGGAGGCGGCCGCGCCCCCCCAACCCCGCTGCCGAGACCCCCACGCTGACCCGGGACTCCTGCCTTCCCAGGAGGGAGGGGGACGCCCTCGCAGCAGCCTTTGTGCAGCGACCCCGGGCGGGGGAGGGGGCCGAGGCAGGCAAGGCCGAGCAGAGGGCGCCCGAGAGCGCGCGGCGCGCCCCCGCCCCCCGTCTGGCCGCCCCCTTCCTTTCCCGTGCGGCGCGCTCTTTGTTCCCGCCCGGGGGCCGGGGCCCGAGGGGGCGGCGGGTCCGAGGGCGGCGCGCGGTACCTACGTGTCTTTGTGGAGCAGCGCCAGGCGCTCCTTGGGCACTTTGAGCCGCTGGGACAGCCGCTTGCGCAGCCCCTCCACCGTTTCGTCCGGGGGCACCGACAGCTCATAGCGGGTGCCCGTTGTGCTATGGATCGCCAGACTCATGGGCGCCGCCTCGGCCGCCGGGCCTAGCTCGCAGGCGCCGCCGGGGGCCCCGCGCCGGCAGCTCCGGGCGCTGCCGGGCTGCGGCTCCATCCCCGGCCCGCGCTGGAGGGCTGGGGTCCACTGGGCGCCGCCAATCCTCGTCGCGCCTCCGGGCAGTGCGGGGGGGTTGGGCTCCCCGAACCGGGGGTCCTCGTCGTTCCTAGGGGAAGCGCACGAACCCTTCGAGAAAGTCCCAGGAGCGGAAGGTGAATCAAGAATCAAAAATCCGAGTGGCGCTCCGGGGTCGCTCTGGCTCGTCGGGGCGCCTTCCGGGGGTGGGGACTGCACTCGCGGCTCCTTTCAAGGACGCTGGGCGTGGGGGAGGGTCCCGAGGAAGGGGCGCCGCTTAGGCGGTCGCGTTCGGTGTCGGCCGCCGCTCGGGCCGCGCTTCCCCGCGCGTCCCCTCCCTTAGCAACAGCCGTCCCCGCCGCCGCCGCCGCCGCTTGAAAGATCTGGGGGTGAAAGTAACAAGAAAAAAAAGTTATAATGTATCAACGTTCCAAGGGGCGGGACTGCCGCCCCCTCCCATTCACTACTTACTCCGCCAGCCCTGAGTCGGCCAATCGCCGCGCGCCGAACGCCCAGTCGGCCGCGCGGGCGGGCCAATGAGAAGCGCCGTGGAGCTGCCCCACGTGGCCGTGCGGGCCCGCCCATCGCCCCGCCCCCGGCCCGGCGGCCAAGGGGAGCTCGGCGGGGGCGGGGCTGGCGCCGCTCCGGCCCGCCCCCGCGCTCCACCCGCCCGCGCCGGGGGCCATTCATACCGCCCGCAACAAAGGGCAGGCGGCCCGAGGGGGATCGGGTTGAGTTGGGGAGCGGCGGCGCGGGGTCCCTGTCCCGGACGGCGCGGCGTGGGGGCGGGCACTATCCCCGCGCCGGGAGGGGCAGGAAGCCGGGGTACCTCCCCCCGCGTCTGTCCGGGAAGCCGCCGCGAGCGGAAGCGGGAGGCGATTCCTGCGCTTCGGGGCCCGGACGGCTCTCAGGAGGTTCGGCCGCCGGGCGTCCCCCACCCGTGGGGCGTGAGGTCCCGGGGAGGAGCGGGGCTGCGGGCGGGGCCTGCACCGCGGTGACGTGGGCCGGTGCCGGGAGGGCCCTCCCCCTCCCGCACCTTCCCGCGCCGGTACCACCTCGCGTCCCCCCCCTGTCCCGCGGGCCCGGCCCGCTTCCCTAGTTGCGCCCGCCCGAGCCGTGACGTGACGCAGCGTCCTCGGCTGCGCCCGCGCGCGCCGCTTTGAGCTGCGGTGAGTCAGCAGCGCCAGCGCGCCCCCTGCCGGCCTCGTCCGGGAGCGCTGCCTGAAGTCCTGGGGAGGGGGCGAAGCAGCTGCCCCGGGGCGGGAGAGAGGCCTACGGGACTGCTGGCGAGGTGGGAACCTCCGCTAGGGGTCTGGAGCCTCTAAGGCGGGAGGCCAGGCCGCACAACTGGAGAAACTGAGGCTGAACAGCAACTTGCTCAAGGTCACTTGCGGGGTAGGAAGAGTTGCCCGGTAGGCGGGGCGGGGGCTGAGGTCTTGCCTGGGCGGTGCTGCTTGCGCCGAGCCCCTCCCATCCCACGACCCGAGGGGCTCGCCAGGGCTGGAGACACCCCGAGCCCTGCCTGCCCCGAAAACAAAGAAAAGTGGGACACCTTTAAGAGCCTAGAGTGGGGCCTTCCTACTAGTCAGGCGAGATCCCACCCGCACTCACCGGACGCGGCCGGTCCAAGGTCTCAACAGTCCCGAGTGTACCCACGTCCGGGGACAGAGCGCGGTGGCGGGGCAGGTCTGGGGCCGAGCGGGCGGCCCCCAAGCCTTTATCCGCACCGCCTTCCCTCGGGGTGGAGTTTGGGCGGGCAGGGGGCGGAGGGCCGGGCGGCCGGTGACGCAGGCGGGCCCCCGCCCCTGCCTGCAGGCCGGGGCCCTTGGGGCGCCTTAGGTTCTGGGCCACCCACCCCGAAGCCTCGCCTCGTATATTGGGGGTCTTTCCATAAATGCTGCTGAACCCAAGGTCACGAACGGCAGCGCCGATGGGTCGGATCCCCAGGACGGGGTTTTGGGGTGCACAGGTTGGCTCCCGCCCCGCCCCCTTTCCTGCCACTCTAGGCCCGGTGCTTCCGCCTGGGGGCGCCCGTGTGGGGGAGCGCAAGGGAGGGGGGGGTGCCTGAGTCAGAGGCCACGGTCCAGGAAAACAGGCTGGAGTCACCTGCCTGTTGTGGGGGTGCCCCAGCCAGCTGCCCCAGCAGCCTGGCCTCCTGCATCCCTTAACGGTGACCTCAGAAGGCATTTACGGAGCGATTAACCTGCGCCAGGCCAGCCTAGTGCAGCTAGTCACCACCCACCGCGCTGTGACCTTTCCGAGCCTGTTTCCGCGGTTCTCCACGGCGGTAGACGGATGGGGAGAATCCAGCTCGGCTCATTCTGGGGGCCCGGGGTGGGCAGGATCACCCCACCCATTTCACAGACCAGTTAACTGACAGCAAACAGCAGCAGGTGGAAATGCGGCCAGTCCTCGTTCTCCCAGCATGTGCTCTGGGTCCAGTCCTCGTTCTCCCAGCATGTGCTCTGGGTCGGCAACTGAGGACGACCCTGAGTGGTGTGGGGTGCTCAGTCTTCCTGCTCCCCTGCCCCTTGTCCATTTATCTGGTTTCTCACTGTATCTGGCCTGACCACCTCCACCCCACCCTAGTCATGGGCACCCCTCCCAGGGCTGTGTTCCTTTCCAGGTCTCCATCCTGCTCCCACCCAAAGTTCCTGCAGCCTTCGACCTGCCCCCTCCCACCCTCACCATCACCTCCACACCCAGAGGCTCCCAGCCCCACAGGGTCAGGAGACCTTTGGGAGGGGGGCCACTGGGGGCTGGGATGGAGGAAGTGCTGGAGCCTGGAGAGGAGGCTATGGGGCCACCGCTGAGGGCCCTGCTGCTGGAGGAACAGGGGGGTGGCAGAGGGAGCTGTGTGCCCTGAAGCCAAGCATTTGGCGCTGGGTCAGGGACTTACAGGCACGGCAGACTGGGCTGTGTGATCTGCGGAGGGGGTGAGACCTTGCCCTTCAGGTCACCAGGGGAGCAGCTGGTCCTCCCGGAACTGGGGCCCTGAGGGTCCATGCACATTTAGGAGTGGGACAGCGCTCTCAGGAAGGGACCATGGGCCCAGCCTGACTCTACAGGTCCAACTTAAGAAACACACCAAGTCAATCCACTTCCTGCTTTCTTTTCCCGTTTAAAGGATCCCGTGCTCTAGTCAGCCCCTGGGTGTGGGCACACACGCAGTCCAAGGGGACCCCCTTCCTCAAAGAAGAACAAGCCTTGTGTGAGCCTGCTCTCGAGCGAAGGGTGGTGACCTCCGGTTCCTGGTTGTATGACCCACTCCACCCTGGGTGTCTCCAGCCCAGGACAAGGCTCCGGGCAACTTAGGCTGTCCCTGCAGACCCACATCAGGTGTGGGCATCCCTAACACCCCAAGGCTCCCATCTCCCTCAGGAGGCCTGCTCTGTGCCGAAGAATCTTACCTATGTTCAGAGCTGTCCCTGGCCAGAGGCTGAACCCTCTCAGGAACAGGGGTACGGCTAGAAGGACCGCTGGTTTGGGTGCCCGTCCAGCAGCTTGGCTCAACGTGCTGTGGTCGCACTGCCTTACCTGTCCGTGGCGTTATTTACGGTTCCCAAAGCGTAACCATGAACTCCAAAACCCAGAACAGGGAGGGGTGGGCCTGCTCCTGTGAGCCCACGGCTGTCACAACACCCTTTGGCCTGGGGAGAGTTAGCTGCTCGGCCTACAGCCTGAGCAGGGGGACCCAGGAAGAAAGACCCCATAGCTGTGAGCTCACTAAGAAGCCTCCACAAGCAAGGCTCCCGCGACATGGAGCACCAATGAAGCCAGGGGACAGTCACTCGCACGGGACCATGACACACAAATCCACAGCCCATCTGTGCTGACAACATGCCCGGGGGTTGGGGGGGGGCTCCCTGTCACCTCCAGACTGCCAGTGACACACGGGAAGGTCCAGGCTCTCCCACACACTCACCACCCTGGAATCCCCTGTCAGCCCTGCTCAGGCCCACGGCTCAGGCAGGGGGGTGAGGAGACCCCTCCCCCAAAGTCTCCTGCCGGGCCACCTGGAGCCAGCTTCTGGGCCATCCCCATGCTTGCAACCGAGAAGAAATGGAACAGCACACAAGCTGCGCAGAGCCAGGGCTGCCCCCGCCCGGCAGCCCCACCCCATCTGGGGCCAGCCCAGGGGCCTGGATGGCACAGGTGCCAACACCACCAGGGACGAGGCGCTTGGCCAGCCAGGCCACCCACAGGCCGGGTGAACAGAGGGCTGGGCCTCTGTGGGAGCAGGCAGGACCCGCCTCTTCCCAGCGTGGCTGGGGCGGGCCGGGGAGCCCACAGGGCAGACGGCACATCCTGAAACTTGGCAGAGCCCCAGGTGGCTGTCCAGCAGCCCAGGCCTGGCCCTGGAGCGGCAGCCACGCCCCTGCCTGCCGTCTCCCCACGCCCGGCCAGCAGCCTGTGCCAATCCCCACCCTCCTGGGCTGATGGCACCCCGCCCACCACCTACCCTGGTTTTACAGGCCATGCCCCCTGCACACCCCACTCCCCAGTTTACTACAGACCCCCGAGGACCTTTCGGCCCCAGCTTCTAAGCCCTGGAGCCTCAGGCTGGTGTTCAACGCCTGATCCCCGTGCAGAGACACACACGGCTGGGACAAAGGCCAGGGAAGGTCCTGAAGACAGAGATCCAGGCAGCACACAGAAGCAGCGTACACGAGTCGGGTCCCTGGCTTTTAATGGGGGGCTCGAGCTGGGGTCAGGCCATCCCTTGGAGGCAGCTGGGAGCAGGTCTCCATGGCAGGGGCTACAGGCTCAGGGGGATGGTGGTTGACACATGAGGTTGGGGGCGGGAGACACAGCCCCTCCTTAAACAGCAGAGCAGGTGTCTGGGCTTACCCCCAGCCACCAGGCCTGCCCGCCCTGGTGAGGAGGCGGGATCCCGGCGGGCTCTCGGCGGGAAGCTAGCGCCGTGCTGCCCCCTGGCGGCCTTCTCTGGCGAGACCGCTCCGGCCACAGGAGAAGCCCCGCAGGCGGCTCGCAGCCCCCCCCCCCCCCCCCGCCGTCAGACCGGCCCCCTGCCAGCCGGCTCAGCCTGCCCGGGACACCCCCTGCCCAGTTCTGGGCCTCGGTTTCGCTGCTGGCCAGGGCCACGCACCGCCTACTCGAGAGCCTTCACCAGGGCCTCGTTGGCCTCGATGCGGATCTGGATCTCAGCCCTGGAGGCCTCATCCGCGGCCCCTGACAGCTCCGACTGTGCCTTCTCCAAGTTCACCTTGGCTGCCTGCGGGAAGCGGGGAATGGGTGAGAGCCAAGCGGCGACCCCAGCCTGGTGCCGGCCCCTCCACCAAACTCGAGTTCCCTTCCCGGAAGTCATCTCTAGCACAGCCCCGGCCTCCTCGGTGCATCTGTCTCCCTTGGGACACTCACCCCCACGTCGAGCATGTCCAGCGTCACGGCCTCTTCGGCCAGCAACTGCACGGAGGAATCAGCGTTCACTGTGACGGAGCCACTGCTCACTACAGGAAGAGGAAGGCGTGAGACCTCCACACCCACCTGCAGGTGACACGATCACCCCCAAACCAGGAAAGTGGCTCCACGCTGTAGCCCTAGAGTCTAGCACAGAAAACAGGCAGCCGGAGAGAATGACACACGCACATGGGGCTCAGGGGCACCCACTGGAGGCTGGACGCAGGGGACACCCACCAGCCCATCAGCTAAGCCAGCACGAGGACGGAGGCGGGAGCCAGGTTCGAACCCTGCTGCGCCTCACAGCTGTGCTAGTGGAGGCACGTCTTGGAATGCAGGGACCTGCACCTCCTAAGGGGCCCCTCTGGCACTGGGCTTGACCTCTCTGTCAGACCCCTGTCCCCCGCCCCGCCTCCCTACAAGCTCCTTAACCCCAAGCCTGCTCTGTGCCCTTTACTTTTCCCAAACCCGTGCCCAGACACTGGACCCGACCTGGGGAAGTACGCGACCCCTAGCCAGCCCCTTCCCACCAGACTCACCAAAGTATTTGGAGGTGGTGCCGTCCTCAGCATGGACAACCACCAGCCCCGGCCGCAGGACCTGCAGGGTGGGGACGTGGGCCGCAAGGATGCCAAAGGCTCCTGTCTGTGTGGGGACATCCACTTGCCGGACATTGGCACCGTTGAAAAACACCTGGAAAGACGACACGGAGCGCGTCACTGCAGGCCAGTCTTCCGGCGCTGGGACCGGCTCTCCTGCAGGAAAAGGGCCAAAGGCAGGAAGGAACACTGACGGCGGACACAGAGACGCCCCCCGCGCGAGACCGGGGCTTTGGCCCCCGCAGCCTCCCCCTGCCGACCTCTAGCGCAGGGCCCGACCACACAAAAACGCTGCAGGAGCACAAAGGGCGCACCAACCCGGGCGGGCACCCAAGAGAACGAGTGTCCGACGCTGTGGGACATGCGGAGCGGGCGGGGGGGGGGGCGGGGAGGTCGAGTCCGTGGACGTTGGCTTCCAGAGAAAACTGTACAGGACTCGGATTCCACACCACAGGGAAGAGCGTAGGGCTCGGGAGGGAGTGCGGGGGGCGACTCCGAGGTGGGGGGCTCGGAAGCCGGACCAAATGAGACGGAAGGGGCGCGGGTCCGGGATCCCAGAAGAGGTTGGGGGCCTCGGACACCCGGAGGCTGCGGAGCCCGGATTCTGGACGACACCGGGGAGGGACCCAGGGAGCGGGACAAATGGGGATCGACACCCCAAAGGCTGGGGTCTCCGACTGCGGACACTACGGGTCCGGACCGGAGACGGCGACCAAGCGGGGTCCCGAGCCAGACCGGCCTCCGAACCTGCGTCGGTGAGGCGAAGGTGAAGGACATCTGTCCCGGGCCCGCAGCCGGGGCCGGAGCAGCGGCGGCCTCGGCGTAGGCGCGGGCCTGGCGTGCGAGGGTACGCAGGCCCGGACGGCGGAGCAGCGCGGCGGGTAGCATGGCGACGGCTGCCGGGGTACTCCAGCCGAACGCTGGAAACGGAGGACGAGGAGGACGACGCGCGGGGACCTCTGGGAAGAGGAGTCCTGGCAAAGGCGCACGCGCGCACTACGACTCCCAGCGAGCCGCGCACATGGACGATGCATCGCGCCCCGCGCGCGGCATGCTGGGGCTTGTAGTTTTCTTCCAGTTCCAGAGGCCAGCCGCGGGGTAAGATCGGGTATGTGCCAAAAGCCTCCGCGGAGCAGGGATTACTTGAATTCAAGATTTTGGGGGCGCTCCTTGGATGCCAGGTGCTAGAGCCATCAAGAGGAATACCAAGATTCCGGCTTTGGTTTGGGGCGGTGGGGACGTTTAACAAACATCAGTGTGACGAATACGCAAACCATATGGCACGTTGGAAGCTACGAAGTACTCAAAAGAGCAAAGAAAAGCAGCGCTGGGGGCCAGGATGGGGTGGGCTGCGACTGTCGGACGCAGACGTGCTGGGAAGGGCATCCTGGGCCTATCTAGCGCGGACAAGTGCCGGGCGCCGCGGGCGCGGCTCGGATGCAATACTCGACGGCGCCGGCAGAGGGCACTCGGCGACTGGAGATACACGCACCGAGGCCTCGTCCGGCCTCCGCCCCCGCGCGCCGCTGACGCACGGACGCGTGCGCGGGCGGCCCGGGGCTGCGCTGACGTCTCCTCGGCTCGCGCAGCCTCGCTCGCGGCGTTGACGTCACCACTCCGCCCCCGCGCTCACGCAGGTGGCGCCCAGGGCCAGGCCTCCAGGCTCACATCTTGGTCTCCGGCAAAACGTGGAGTGTGGGTTGGACGGGGTCGGGGCCCACACCGGGGAGGGCCTTGGCTGAGGGGCCGAGGGGTGCAGCCACAGGGGAGGGGGTGTCACTCCTGGGCCCGGGTCTGGGCACACGCGTTGCGACGCGGTGCTGCCCCCCGTGGCTCCCCAACCCCAGGGGCTGCCTGCATCCTAGCTGCCTGCCTTCCAGCATCGGGGGCGCCTGTGGCCAACACAGGGGAAGGATGCAGACCTAGTGCCCAGACCCCCGCCGCCTCTGGGCATCCCGGCCCAGGGTGTGTGCGCACAGAGGGAAGCCGGTTCGCATTTCTAGGGGTGCGTCCCGTGTGCAGTTCCCAACCTTTCCCAGAGCCCCAGGCCCCACATGGAGGTGAGCCTAATCTACCTCATCAGTCCGCTACTCGAACCCATCCACTGGGCAATTTCTCTCCCATTCCTACTCCAGGGGGGCCAATGCGTAAAGGCAGGACCTGTTACTCAGGCCCCAAACCTAGGGTGACCCTGGAGCTCTCCAGTGGACCCCCGTGGGCATGGCCTGTCCACTCAGTGGCCACTCTTACTGGTTTGCACAGCCCCAGCCTCCTCCCCTGTCCTCCAGGCAGGTGAGTTCACACACAGCCAGCGGCACCATGTCATTCTCTTGCTGGGAACCACAAGACGGCTTCCCTTGTTCCCTCCAACACAACACTTTGATTTCCAAACCTACTTTCTTACCCCAGGTCCTTTGCACATCCAGCTCCTGCTCACTTGAATCAGCTCTTGCCTGGGTGTTCACTCGACTGGCAGATTGTCTTTGACGTGCCGGCTGGTGCTATGCCTGGGGACCCAGCTCCTGACTTGGGACTCACCCTGCAGTGACGGAGTGGGTGAGGAGGACACGACACACTGGAGCAAATAACAGGCGACATGCAGGGCCACAGAAAGGGGCAGGGTGGGAGCTGCTGTTTACCAAAGGTAGCCAAGAGGACATGCACTGAGACTTGGCCATTTAGGAAAGAGTTGAAGGAAGCCAGGGAATGACTCTTGAAGCTGAGTGGGAAAGAAAGAGCCTTCGAGGCTCGGCACCTGCCAGTGCAAAGGCTCTGAGGTTGAAGTGGTAGTGTCAGTTTTCACTGGAGGGGAAAGGGGTGACACCGTGTTGAGCATAGGGCCAGGGGGCTTGGGCTAGGACCCAGACCACCCTGCTGCAGGTTGGTGTCCTACGAGGACATCTAGAAGAACAAGTCACGATTCTCTGAGATGGAGAATGGGGGCAGCTTTGTGGGTCATCATCAGGCATGGAGTCTCTGCTGGAGTAGTTCTGATGTCACCCGGCGCTGGGCAGGCCATGGTGGCACTCAGCACAGGTCATATTCTATTATCGTTGCTCGTTGTTTGTCCCAACAAGACGCAGCGCCTGGTGAACCTGGCAGTGCCACATATTAGGGAAGAGAAGCGGGGAGCATATATCCAACCCCCCCCAGACTGTGTATCCTGGGGACTCCCAGGTTGGGGGAGGCGAAGGAGGGGAAACCAATGGACGGGACTCCTCCCCTTCTTTCCGCGTCCCTGCGGACCCTGGGAAGGGTCAGAAGCTGTGTCGCAGGGGAGGGGGTGGAGACTCAGCTACCGCCGGGAGAGCCGCTCGGCGTGGGGAGGGGGCGTCCGCGAGCGCAGGCTCCGCCTCCCACTCCCGCCGGAAGGGAAGGGGAGGCGGTGGCCCGCGCGCAGTGAGCCAGACGCGGCGGCGAGCGCGGCGGCGAGCGCGGCGGGGGCGGTCGGCCCGGGACCGGGTGGCACCCAGCGGGTCGGAGCGGGCTCGCCGCCAACGCGGTCACGTGCGCGGTCCCTCCTCTTGCGCCTGCCTCCCCCGCGCGCCGCGCTCTCCATTCATAAATTCTCCGCCTGCTCCGCGGCCACCGGGCACCGGAGCCCGCCGGGAACGCCGCGCAGCCGCCCGCCCGCCCGCCCCCCATGGGCCGCGCGCCCTGGCGCTGAGGTAGGCGCGGCGGGCCCGGGGATACGCCAAGGCGGGCGGGGGCAGGCCGAGGCCGCGCGGCCCGTGGGATCGCCGCCGGCTCCCGACCACCCGCCCTTTCCGCGACGCGGCGAGGCCGGAGGGAGGGAGTGGGGGGAGCAGGGGCGGGCGTGCGGGCCGGTCCGCGGGCCCCGCAACCCCCGTTTGGGGCCCGGGAGGGGGACCCCCCCCCCCGCCCACGCCCTATCCCGGCCTCAGTTTCCCCTGAGATGCAGCGAGCGCGATGGCGTCTCCGTCTCCTGGATTAGCCCGAAGCGGCGATGTGCCCGGAGCCCGGCTCTCTGCCTCTCCGTGAGGGCTCGCCATCCCGTCCCCGGGGCTGGTTGGGGGCGCAGGGATGGGCGCGGTGGCGAGCGAGCTCGGGAAGGACCGGCTGGACCTCAGGGGCGGGCCCGTGGGGAACGTCCGCCCTCGGGTCTGGTCCCCGCCTACCCCTAGGAGTCCACCTCTCTCACCCCTCGGCTTCCTGCCATCTTTTCTGGCCTCCTGTCACGGCCCCTGCGCTTCTGCCCCCTCCCCCAGCCGGGACTCATTTCCCGACCTACATTTTGCGCGCCCCATCCCCTTGAGGATACCGGGCAGCCTCGGTCGTTCTCGGACCGAGCGCTGAGAACACCTGGCTTTCGCCAGGCCCTCCCCCTCGCCCCCATTCTCGGGGCCTGTTTCCCCCCGCTGTCGAGTGGGGTTACAACCCGGAGGGGCCGGGGACGCGGGAGCGTACACAGGCTCCCCCTCTCCCCTGGGGAAAGGCCGAACGCGCGCCCTGCCACTCAGGGCTGTGGGGCACCCGGCCCAGACTCTGCCGCCCGAGATTACAGAGTGCAGTCCCGGGTCCTTCCCACCGGGAGGAGCTGGCGTAGGGAGGGCGGGCAGGTGCGCTCTCCAGGCAGCCCCTTTCCCGAGGGCTGAGCTCCCCTCCCCGGCCTCAGTTTACCCCGAGCCCAAAGCAAACGTGGAGGCTGGCGTGCTTGGCCAGAGCTGCTGCTCGTGGAGGCGCAGGGCCCCGCGCTGGGCACTGGCGGGGAGGCGGCTGCAGCAGCCATCTTGCCACCCAGGACCGGCTCAAGCCGCCCTGCAGGAGGCCTCCCTCCCCCGCACCCCCTCCTCTCCCCCAATGCGCCCTGGCAACACCCCCCCTCCCCGCTCGGCCTGCTCGCTCAGTCGCCATGGGAACCGGATTCTTCAGGGCTGGGAACAGATGCGCCTTCTTTGGCCTTTTCGCTCCCGCTAGCACTGGGTGGAGGGGGACAGCTACCTCCCGGAGTTGTGACTTGTAGGCACTGAGCTCAGTTCCTGCACCCCGTTCCACAATCCTGGCACCACTCCCTGTAGAAGCAGTCTCCGGGGCTGCGGCAGGCGGCCCCTCCTCTCCCCCGATGCGGCTGGCAGGGCCCCTGGGGTCTCCCGGTAGTGAGCCAACAGCCTCAGTGTCCCCGTTCCTCCTAGGACTGCTTTCCCCTTTCTGGGCAGGGTTCCCGGCCAGCTGCTGCCTTGCTGGGCCGGCCCCACCGGCTGGGGAGGTGATGGATAGCATACACCTCCCCCGTTCTAAACATGGGGAAACGGAGGTCCTCACGTTGATCTAAGCGGGGTGGGGGCTGCCTCGGGGCTCTCCTCCACCTCCCGGTGAGTCACTGCCCGGTGTGGACTCCTACTCCCACTCCCTGGGAGCTAGGAGAGGGAGGGGACAGAGGAGCTGGTCTGAGCAGGCCCTGCCCCCCACCAGGCTCCTCCTCCTAGCTTCAAAATGCAGCCCACGCCCACCATGGCCACGGCCGCCAGCACCGCTGCCACCGTCGCCCTGACCTCGAGGTGGGACAACGCCACCGGCAGCCCCACCGTGAGTGAGGGGTTTGGAGTGGGGTGGCTGGGCCGGGCGGGCCTCCAGAGGCCACGCCCAGCGGTCCTGACCCCTGCTGGCCCACAGGCGGAGCCTGACCCCATCCTGGACAACTACGTGCTGCTGGTGGTGGTCATGTCGCTCTTCGTTGGTGGCACGCTAGTGGTGCTGTCCGGCGTGCTCCTCGTGTGCAGGCGCTGCTGGGAGGCTCACCCGCGCTTCAACAGGTGCGCAGTCCACCCACCCCAGCGGCCTCCCCGGGGTCCCTGCGGGCCTGGAGCCGGGGGACCGTGCGAGCGCGCACACGCGCGTGCGTGCCGACAGCAGGCGTGAATGTCAGCCCGTGTGGTGTTGGGGGCCTGCTTCTGAGTGCCTGGGGAGCACGGTGTGTCTGCACCGGGGCCTGGCCCCGGGAGCTCGGGTCCTGGCAGGTGGGCCCTCCGACCCACCTTGCTGTCCTGCGGTATCTCCCCAGAGCGACGGAGGAAGCGGAAAAGACCGCCACCACCTACCTGGACAATGGCGCTCGCCCGGCCCAAGGTGCGGCGCCCCGCCAGGCCCGCCCCCTGCCCACCTGCCCGCCCTCCCGCCCGCCCCCTCGGGCCGCCTGACCGGCTGTGTCTGTCTGTCTCCCCCACCAGACTGGGCGCAGCTCGATTCCGACTCATCTCTGTTTCCTTAGAGCCCGCGCGTAGGTGCTCACAGGCGCGTGCTGAGCGAGTGAGTGTGTGAGCGGATGTGTGAGTGCCGCCCCGCCCCCGCCGGGCCCCGCCCCTCGCCCCCGCCCCGCCCCGCCCCGCCCCGGCCGGCCGCCCGCCCAGCGCCAGGCGCGGCCCGCCCGGGGCCCACCCTCTCGGCTCTCCTCGCAGACCCCGACTTCAGGGGGGAGGACCCTGAGGGCCAGGACGCGGAGACGGAGCGCTTCCTGTCCACCAGCTCCACCGGCCGCCGGGTGTCCTTCAACGAGGCTGCCCTGTTTGAGCAGAGCCGGAAGTCGCAGGACAAGGGCCGCAGGTAAGGGGCGGCGCGGCTGCAAGGGACCCGGTCCCTAAGGGATGTCCCAGAGCCTGATGCCCTGTGACTGCGCTCCCTGAGCGGTGGGTGCTGGGCGCTGGCCTTGCTCTCCCCCAGAATTGACGGGGTGGGCTGTGGAGCCAGGGACAGCTGGTGTCGGCTTGGGGGTTCAGGCTGTCCAATGGAGGGCCGAGCGTGGGGCGGGGCGGGGGGTGCTGGCTGGCACGGTGACTGGCAGCCATGCCGGGCGCAGGTACACCCTGACGGAGGGGGACTTCCACCACCTGAAGAATGCCCGCCTCACCCACCTGCACCTGCCGCCCCTCAAGATCGTCACAATCCATGAGTGCGACCTGGGTGAAGCCGGCGCAGCCACCCCTCCCCACGCCACCGCCGCCCCCAAGGCCAACCTCGCCATCTTCCAGGTGAGTGTAGGGATGGCAGCCGGCTTGGGGCTCATTGGACAGGACAGCGCCCCTGCTGGTGGTCCCTTTCTCTCTGGGCTGGGCCCCTCATCTTAGGACAGGGGAGGGGGACCTGGCTGGGGTGCACAGTGGGCTGTGGGTCCAGCAGTCCCCCTCACCCACCCATGCTCTTTGACCTGTTACTGCTTCCTCCCCTAGCCCCCGGGGAAGGCCCTCACCGGCCACTCCGTGGGCCCCAGCTCCGCCCTGCCAGGTGACCCCTACAACTCAGCCGTGGGCCCTGCTGACTTCGAGATCAGCCCCTTGGCATCCAGCGACTCCGGGGAAGGCACCTGGGTGAGGGCCCCCGAGCGGCCCCTCCCCTCCCTGCCCCACTCCAGGACAGAGGTCAGCCCGTGGCCTCCCCCACCCTCACTCCCCTTGCTCCTGCCTGACCTCCTGCATGGGAAGAAGAGGGGTAGGCGGCACGTAGACTACGCAGCCACCCCTCACGCGCACAGAGCGTTCCAGCGGCTGGAAGGGGCAGGTCAGGACCCAGCCCGAGCCAGGGTACAAATGCTCTCGGACACTCACCCTTGGTGACACCTCTGTCTGGGGCTGGGAGGACCAGATCTGGCCGGCGCCTGGCTGAACCCCTGAGCTCAGCGTAGCTTCCAGCCGGCCACTGAGCGCCCTTTGCTGCTCCTCTTCATTCTGGGTGGGGCGCGGTGGCGCTGTCTGCTAGAGCTGCCCACTCGCGTGCAGAGCCGGGCCTAGGCTGGAGCCAGCGTGCAGGGCAGCAAGGACAGGGCCCTGGCTGAGAGCATTCCTCTTTTCTTCTAGTTGGATCCAGGCACCAGGAGCAGCAGGCCTGCCGGCCCAGGGCCCGCAACGGGGCACAGGGAGGCCGGGCGCGGGGAGGCAGGCCCTGGCTCTGGGGCCGGACCCGTCCTGCAGTTCTTCACCCGGCTGCGGCGCCATGCGAGCCTGGACGGGGCCAGCCCCTACTTCAAGGTCAAGAAATGGAAGCTGGACCCCAGCCAACGGGCATCCAGTCTGGACACCAGAGGTAAGCTGGGACCCTTGGCAGAAACTGGGCCCCGGGGGTACAGCTCCCACTGCTGCCCCAGGCAGCCTTCAAGAAGGAGGTTTCACGCCCAGGGAGGGGTCAGTGCTCTCGGACCCCAGGCGCCTGCCCCATACTGGCTGGCGGCACCTGTCTGCCGGCAGGCATCTTGCCCAAGGGCTGCCAGCTGGTTGGGTCGCACACTGGGCCCCAGCGAAGCAGGGGGTTGGCAGACCGGTGACCTGTAAGGCAGGAGACAACAGTGGTTTTGGATCTGTCGTCAGCCTGTCTGGTGTGGCAGTGTGGAAGGAGCTGCAGACTGCGTATACATGAGTGTAGATACGCGCCAATAAAACTTTATTTACAACAACAGCTTGCAGGCCCGTTCGGCCCCGGGGCTGGGCCTGAGCATCCACAGGCCTGAACTACTGAGACCAGCCCTTCAATCCTGCAGAGCCCAGATCATGGAGAGCCCAGGACACAGGGCTTCCTCATCCCCAGTCCAAAGCAGGAGCCTGTGTCTGGGGTTGGGGAGGTGGGCACCGACGTCTCTATGGATCCCTTTCCGGGGGACTCGGCCAGGACAGGACAGGCTGCGGGGCTGCCTGCTGCCTGCGGGGGGGGGCCCCAGTGCCAGGACAGGTGAGGAGACGGCACAAGCCCCCGTGTTGGGGGCTGGCTCCAGCTAGCGCAGGGAGAGGATAGCCTACTCCACTGCCTTTGGGAGCAGAGATGGAGACCCTGATTCCTGAGGACGATTAGAGTGGAACGTAGGTGCACAAGTGCCCGGAACCTGTCTGCTGGCTGACTGGCCTCCCCACACCTGCGGCTTTCCCACCCAAGCTTCTCCCAGGCCCTGCAGGGGGCCCACGGGCAGAGGCAGAGCTGCAAAAGAAGGACCCCCCCCCACCCCGGCCCCCTGCCGGCCTGTCCATCACTCTCCCGCACACTCCGTTCTGCCCTTCACTTCGGGGGGCCAGTGCGGGTCTTGGCTCGGGCCGTATGTTTTTGGCCAGAGCTGTTCTGGAGTACTGTTACCTCCTGGACAACCTGACTCACACCTGTTTGTGCCTCGGTTCCCCCCCCCACCGCAGAGCGGGGGGAACCCTCCCCTGGCCCCAGGCTGACGCGCCTTCCTCTACAGGCTCCCCCAAGCGGCACCAGTTCCAGCGGCAGCGGGCAGCCAGCGAGAGCACAGAGCAGGAGGAGGGGGCCGCCCCCCATGGGGATTTCATCCAGTACATTGCCAGCGCAGGCGCCGCTGTGGCCTTCCCGCCCCCCCGCCCCTTTCTGGCCAGCCCCACCAGCCCGTCCCCCACCCTCGGCAGGTATTTTTCAGTAGATAGAAGTGCTAGGGGTGGACCTGTGGGCCCCTGCCCCCCTCAGTCCCCTCCCCCTTGCCCTGGGGAGGGCTCTCCTAACCCTGCAGACACAGGGTTCCGAGCCTCCGGTTCCGCCAGTCCTCCTGGAGGCTGCCTCACTGGGTCCACCTCTCCAGCATGCATCCCAAGAGGGAAACAGGGGGAGACAGGGGAAGGGCAGAAGGGCAGGTGGGGCCCTGGACGATGGCCCCAGGGTCCCCAAGACAGGATGCCTGCCCAGTCAGGGCTGTGAGGGGCACGTGCCTGCTTGGATGTTACTGCTTCCCAGTGGGGTCCACGGCCTGATGGGCTCTGCTGTGGCCTGGTGCTCCTTCCCACCTGCCTGTGTTCCTGACAGCTGCATGGCCCCTTCTCAGAAACTGTGACCCCTTCTGCCAGCAGCACCCCAACACTGCCCTCCTGGATGGGAGCAGTGGGGTGGTAAGGTCCAGGACTAGAGGCTGAGTGGGGCTACCCCTGATCCAGTCCATCCCCAGCCAGTCCCTTCCACACTGAGATGTTAGGAAGAAAGCAGCCCCACAGGACAATGTCCCTCTCTCCAGGTGAGGAGCCGGCCGCCTATGCTACGAGCAGGTGCTTGGCTGAGACACTGTAAAATGACCTGGTTGAAAAGCAGGTGCCAGGAAGACTCAGATTTACCCAGAAAATATACCCTGCAACGGGGACTGGCAACATTTTTCTTAAAAAAAAATTCATTTTCGCAGAGCCTGGCCAAGCCTAGGGGGTCCCCACCCATGCCCGCCCTTCCGGACCCAGAGTCAGGGGGGCTGGGGAGAAAATGCAGGGGCGTGCACAGCCTTCTTGACCGCTGCGGCCTGGCTTGCAGGCTAGAGGCAGCCGAGGAGGTGGGCGCCGCGGGAGGAGCGAGCCCCGAGTCTCCCCCAGAGTCTAGCGGCGGCGTGGGGACTGAGCAGCTGCAGCAGCAGGAGTCCGATGGCGAGCGGGACTCGGGGCCGGAGCAGGCGCAGACCAGCTACCGGGATATCTGGAGCCTGCGCGCCTCCCTCGAGCTGCATGCCGCGGCCGCCTCGGACCACAGCAGCAGTGGCAACGACCGCGACTCGGTGCGCAGCGGCGACAGTTCGGGCTCGGGCTCCGGGACCACCGCGCCCGCCTTCCCGCCGCCCTCGCCGCCGCCCACACCGCGATCCGCGGACGGCGAGGCGGGAGGTCCGCGGAAGCTGCTTCAGATGGACAGCGGCTACGCCAGCATCGAGGGCCGCGGCGCGGGCGACGACGGACTGCCCAGCGCGTCCGAGAAGCGCTCTTCCTTCACCAGCGCCGGCCGCACGGCCACTGTGGGCAGCAGCTTTGAGGGGGCGCTGGCGCCCACGGAGGCGCCCACCCGGCCCCGCAGCCCCCGCGCCTGGCCCCGCCGCGCCCCGCGCCGCGACTACAGCATCGACGAGAAGACAGACGCGCTCTTCCACGAGTTCCTGCGCCACGACCCGCACTTCGACGACGCACTGCCCTGCGCCACCCGCCACCGCGCGCGCGCGCACCCGCACCCGCACGCGCGCAAGCAGTGGCAGCAGCGCGGCCGGCAGCACAGCGACCCCGGCGCGCGCGCCGCCACTCCCGTCCCCCCCGCGCCCCCGTTCCGCCCAGACCCCCGGCCCCCACGTGCGCCTCTGCGCCGCGGCGACAGCGTCGACTGCCCGTCCGAGGGCCGCGCGGGCGAGGACCCGGCGGCGCCCGCCATTCCGGTCATCGAGGAGGAGCCCGGCGGCGGCGGAGGCGGCGGTTGCCCCGGCTCGGGCCTGTGCGTCGGGCCCCCGGGGACGCTGCTGGACAAGCTGGCGGCCGGCCTCGACGACAGACTGTTCCCGCCGCGCCTCGCCCAGCCCATCGCCGCGGCTCCCGCGCTGGCCGCCGCCGCGCCGACGTCTCCCGACCACAGCCCGGCCTAAGCCCCGCGCCCCGCACCCGCCTCGTCAGCGTCTCGGCGCCGCTCGGGGCCCGCGCCGCGGGACGCGCCTCCAGCCGCCCCCCGGTGCGCGCGCTCTCGCCCTCGGGTCACCTTCGCGCGGCCTCCGGTGCGCACGCGCACAGCCCCACCCCCGGCACGGAGTCGGGACACTCCGCGGCTCCTCAGCGTGTGGGCCCGGACCGGAGGGAGCGGGGCCGCTTCTCCATCTACCTTTGGCCTCGACGGCAGTCCCCGCGCTGGGGCGTCTTGCGCACAGAATGCCGGGAGGTGCACGCTGGTACCGGCACCCGGGAGGCTCTGGGTGGAGGAGCCAAGTGAGGCGCATGCGCGGGGCGCCCCGAGTGGGGCCCACAGAGCCTCGAGGGGGCCGGGCCGCACGCGCCGGAGTCTGCCGCGGGGCGCATGCGCCGAGCTGGGACCGCACCGCGGCTGAGCGGGAGCCGGCCACGCTGGCTCTGGGCTGGCCGGGTGGGTGGAGGCCGCAGCCGCCCAGGCCCCGAAGCTGTTTACCTCACCGCGGCCTGTGCTCGCGACCCCCGGCGCCCCCTGAGCAATAAACCCCGATCCGCTCGTCCCCGCGCCCGCCCCAAGCATGTGAGCGGGCCGCCCGCCGCCGCCGCCCAAAGAGCTGCCACGACTCGTGTTTGGAGACACACAAAACCCAAACGGCCACGGGTTCAAGGTTCCCGAGCTTTATTTATTGCCAAAAGATGGGGCCGCCCGCGCCTGCGGCCGCCCCGCCACACCCCATCCCGTTCCTCGGAGCTTCCTGCCGTCTGTGTTCCATCCCGTGATGGTGTTTCTCGTGTTTGTTTTCTGGTTGATTATAAATATTTACCGCACACGCTCGCTTAGTTCCAGTTTTCTCTGGGGACCCGGGAGCACAGAGCCCTCGGAAACGGGGCGGGGGTCCGGCGATCAGGGAGTCCCCTGGCCACCGGTGGGCCCTGGGGCTGCGCTGAGGGTCCTGCTGAGCTTTGGGGAGACCGGTCACCACTGAGAGGGCTGATGTCCAGCACGGCTGAAGGAGGACCCAGGTCCCACCACCTGCCTGCCCGCTGGGCTGGGAGGTCCACTGAGGGGCTCGGACTCAGACCCACTGCCCGTAGGACAGCGGTGCCGCCCCACAATTCCCGCACACCCTTCACAACCACAGCTCAAATCCACCGGCTTTATTTTTTCTTAAAAAAAAGAAAAAAGGAAAAGGAACCAACCAAACAGCAACAACAGGGCCGCGGCCCGGCTCCCTTGGGCTCGGGGCATGCATCTTGGCAGGCAAGCCTGTTCCTCCTGCGGCTCCTGACGCGGCTGTGGTCTGAGCCCACCACCAGCTGTGGGAGGCGCCAGCGTGGAGCAGAGTGAAAGGAAGTCCGGGCGGGGTGAGAGCCAGCAGGTCTGAACATAAAGTGCACGGCAAGGGCTTCCCGCCGGGCTGCGGGCTGCCACGCGTCCTCCTCCTCGGGCCAGGGGAAGGGGCCCCGCACACGGCTGCAGAGTCATCAAGAGGTCGTGTCTGCTGGCCGTGAGGGGAAGGCCAGACCCCAGCCCCTGCAGTCCCCCAGCCACAGCCCTCCAAGACCCGTGGCTTCCCGAGGGGCAGTCGGCAAGGAGGGTATGGTGGTGGCCTTCCTGGGCAGCAGGTGTGGGCCAGCAGTCGGCGGGAAGACTGAGGACCTGGGCCGCGGCACCTGGCTGGGGTTCCATGAGACAGGCTGCAGACGGAACACACGGGTCACTCCTGGGCCAGCAAACAGGCTGTGCATCCCAGGAGGCAGGCCCCATCCTGGTGTTAGGGCGGGGAAACGGAGGCCTGCTTATATAGGGCTGTCAGCCATCCAGAGAGGCCGGGAAAGGTAGTGCTGATTCCAGGGGTCACCCTGTCCTTCACGCGCTGCCCAGTGGAGTTATGCACCAGCCTCCACAGAGGAAGCTGGGTTCCAGCCCTCCGAGCTGGTTCTGATGTCGGCAGGTAGGCACCACAGGGCCACTGGGGCGGCGGGCAGCTCCCCCGGAGAGGGCACCCCCCTGCAACCTGAGCAGCATCTTCCGCTCCCCTGCGGCCCGATTTCCCACCACACACACCTTCTCCGACTCGGGCAGGCAGGGGCGGGAACGGGAAGCAGAGGGGGGCGGAGCAGCCACCAGGATCATAGCCTAGGCCAAACTGAAGCCGTCCCCACCTCCCACCCACCCACCCACAGTGCCTCATATGCCACTGGGTGGAGTCCAGCATCGCCCAGGGCTGGCAGGACAGGCTGCCAGCGGGAGGGACCCCCTCCTGCACACGGGAACGGCTGCCCCAGCCCCAGCTGCCCGGCCAGGGTCCAGCCGGCCGTGGGCGAGGACTGACAGAGCAGGGAAGGCAGACCTGGTGGCCCCGGCCAGCGGCAGCTGCAGCGGTGTCAGGCCACAAGTGGCCGGCGCCGCGCACGGCCCCCGCCCTCCCCCACGCGCCGCACGGCCCACCTGCGGCCGCTGCCTCACTGCTGCTTGCAGGCTGATAGCCTGCGGGTCTTGCCGCCGGCGGAGCAGGCCTTGCGGGCGGGGTTGGAGGCAGCGCCGGCCCGGCGCTCTGCCCTGGATCTGGTGCTCAGCGGCGCTGACTCGGTGCCGTTGGCGCACAGCACTTTGGGTAGGCCCCGGCTCTGCCCGTTCTGCCCAGACTCCTCCTCTGGGACCTGTCCTAGGAGGGAGAGGGCGAGTGTGGGCTGATGGGAGCCTGAGGCCGACTACCTGTGCCCCCTGCCCCGCCCCAATCCCCAGGCCTAGGTCCTCTCCAGCCAGCCAGGCCCAGGCTCCTCTACCACCTGCACCCCCCTTGCCCACCCAGGTCCTGCCTGCGGGTCCCCTCAACCAGCTAGAAAAATAAATGCCCTCGTGGAGTCGGCCAGCCAAGGGGGGTGCCCAGCCCACGCTCACCTGCCTGCCCCTGTGCGAGCCGGGTTTCTGCGCTCAGGAGGGCCTGGCCTGTCCCACACACCCTCCACCCCAGCACATGGTGGAGGACCAGGGTCCCGGGGCACAGGGCCCTATGCTGGGCCCGCTCACCTGTGTGGAGGCCAGACCTCACTGGGCCCTGTGGGGCTGAGAGGGGCTGGGTTCAGGCCAGGTGGGCAACACTCATCTTTCCCCTTGAGGCCAGCCTCAGCTCCCCATACTGGGCACAGGATGAAGAGATCAGTCAGGGGCCTGCTGTGCCCCTACTCGCTACCAGGCAGCACCGGCCCTTGCTGGCGTCCAGGGGGGGGTCACAGGCCTGGAGCCGCACAACTGCCTCAATCCTGTGCTCTGAGGTGTGCTGGGAGGAGGAGGAGGAGGGCACACAGGGGTCAGCCGACCTGCCAGGGCCTGCATAGCTCATTCAGTGCACATGGAAAATTGGCCTCTTGCCCACACCCCACCCTCCCCGGACTCGGGTGGGAAGCTGCCCTCAGCGGCCTCTAGTCCGCCTCTTTGCCAGCACAGAGCCCCCTCTAGGCCAAAGGTCCCCAGTATCTGACTCAGCAGCTTCTAGAACTTGCCGTGAGCCACCCCTATGCACACAGGAGGCATCCTAGATCAGAGCTCATCACTGTTGACAAGTTTCTGCCAGGGAGAGGTCTTGTGTGGGGTGAGGAGCCCCGCTATGACAGGGGAGGAGCCCCGCAGGCACTGAGCCCCGCAGCTCCACACACACCACCTGGAGCCCAGCTACAGTCACAGCCACTGTGGCTGCGGGTCGGGGCAGGAGGGGTGGGTACAGGATCTGGTCTCCTGATCCTCAAAGGACTGGAGCATCGCCCACAACCACCCACCTCTGGCCCAAGGCCCGTCACCCAGCTTTCAGGGCAGGAGGCAGACCCCCACAGTGGGGACAGTCCCGGGAGACCAAGGCCAAGCAGCTGAGCGCCTCTGAGGGCGACCACAGCACTGGGACTGCAGTGAGGAGGGGACGAGGCCTCAGCACAGCCACTGTGGACCCACGAGGGCTCCGAGAAAGCATCAGCGGTCCTGGAAGAGGCTCTGCTCCTTCTACCACGGATGGACAGTCGGGCGTCGGACTCCAGCCGGAGAGCCGCTGTGGCACGAGCCCTGCCCAGCCACAACAGGCAGCTCCTGGCCTCTCACACACACAGTCAGGGGTCTGGGCATCTGGCAGAGTGCTCACCCCACCTTGCTGAGACAGCAGATGGCCCGCCAGCGAGGGCCGCTCCCAAGGTCCTGACACGAGAGCCCAGCACCTCTGAGAGGCAGGACACCTCTTTCCCGTTCTACAGAAGACCTCTACAAGGCCACAGACACCAAGCACGCATCACCTCCTGGGACTCTACAGGGTTACCGCTGAGCCAAAGCCACTGCCACTTGGGGTCCAGCTCCAGAACGGGCATCTCAGACCCCCAAGCACGCCTGCTCAAGTGGGATGCCTGAACCCCGCCCCAGCTCTGCCAGGAAAACATCTTTGGGCCCACAGCATTACTGCCTAGTGGGGTGTCCCCAGGGGCCCCACCCACCACACAGGCCACCCCCGCACACCAGGTTTGTCTACAATAAAAATCTAACATTTGGCAAACGAGCCAGGGAAAAGGGAGAAAAGGGAGACAAGTGTCACCCGCACAGGCACAGCGGGGCAAACCTTTATGATGGGAGCCTGTGAAACCGGCCCCAGAACGAACGGTGAACACTGGGGGTGGGACAGCTGCCCTGGCCACCCTCAGACACCTGGGCAGGGTCAGGGAGGGTCGGTGGCCAGGCACCCAGGCCTGGCCTCTCCGGCACCGGCTGGCACTGCGGGGGGCAGGGGCAGGGGCATCGCTACACTATGGCCTCGAGCCCTTCTGCGCCCCTGGCCTCAGCTTCCTCTCCAGAAAGGTCTGAGCACTGGCTCTTCTGCGTGCCTCTCTCCTCTCTAAGCCCTGCCTCAGACGCCTCCTCGCCACCTGGGGAAGCAAGGCGACATGCATCAGGGTGGGCGGCCTGGTGCCAGGAGGGCCACTGGACCCT